AGCCACGATTATCGCAGAGGTTGCTTCTCGTGCGACATTCGAGAAGTAACACAAATGTTCAGAAAAGGTCTTTGTGGCACGGACCCAGCGATGCGCTAAGTAGCTCGTAGCACGTGAGTTCCGCTAAGGAGACAATGAAAATTACATGCCGGCCTGTAGTTATTTTTAAGCCCTGTAAGTTCCTGTAGATTACAGGCCTTGTAGCCCTGAACTTTTACTGAGCACACCACCTCGTCTACTATTTTGTTCGACAATATGACAACAATTTATTGCAACTATCTTCATACCTAGGAATGATTCATACCTTCAATCTGACTCACAACGATTTCTGTAGTTTTGGAGCAAAACAAACACCACTGTCAATCCGGTATTATTGCTCAGATGTCTCCAGTTCAGTTCCAAATTATGTCAGATCTCCATTTGGAGACTCCAAGCGCGAGACCATCATATCAGCACTTCAAAATTCAACCAGAATGTAAATATTTGGCTCTTCTGGGCGACATTGGAAAAGTCCTAGATTATGAGCTTCTTGCTTTTCTCGAAGACCAATTGAGGGCATTCGAGATTGTTTTCTTCGTTCAAGGAAACCATGAAGCATATGGAATGAAAGTGAAGGCAGCCCTTGCAACTATGCTGAGGTTTCAACGTACAATGGATGAATATCGTGAGGAGGGAGTGGAAATAGGCCGTTTTGTATTTCTCAACCGAACGAGATTTGATATCACGGATAGCTTGACCGTTCTAGGTTGCACCCTTTTCTCTCACATTTCCGACGAACAACGTCAATCTGTATCGCTTTTCTGCTCCGATTTCTCAGAGACATTGGAGTGGGATATTGATGCTCATAACGCTTCTCATCGGGAAGATCTTACCTGGTTGAATGCTCAAGTGGAGCAGATAATACGAGATGAGCCTCAACGAAAGATTATGGTCTTCACACACTTCAGCCCGACGATGCTTGAGGCCGCCAATGATCCTACGAAGCTTGAAGATTGCAATCAAGTCAGGTCTGCATTTGTCACAGATCTCTCTGACCAGGTATGTTGGACGAGCTCAAGTGTCAGGCTCTGGGCGTTTGGGCACACGCACTACAACTGCGATTTTGAAGAAATAGGAACCGGGAAAAGAATTGTGGCAAATCAGAAGGGTTACAAAAGAAGTGAAGTGGATACTTTCGATGTGGCGAAGGTGATTGAAATTGAAACTATTGAATTTTTGTAGCGGAATATGTTACCATTCGTCCTCCAGACGAGACCCTAGAGACTTTATCGTAATGATGCGAGCGGAAAATTGTGGAATTGATAACAGGGCAAACAATACGACTGAGCTAATTCATAGTTGTGATATTTGAAAGATAAAAAAGTGAGCAAAACCTGTTCCATCAATTGTCTGGGTTGGCACGAGAAGGTCACAACCACTCGACAGTTTTGAGCCATACAAGACTGGCCGATGGGCAGCAAGTTAAGACTTTGAGACAAAAAGCTTAAGCGTCTAGACGACAGCCATGAATTTCCCATGATGCAGGCAGTGCTTGCACAAGATATCTCCAGATGTAGTAATGATGGTATGGATGACAAATTCTGTCATTGGAGAACATAAGAGCAGTCCCAAGCCATATCCTTGGGACTTTGATGCAACATAAACCATGATACCTAGCTCGAAATAATTACACATGCTCCTCACCCTTACTCTTGCTCTGAAACTGTCGTCAAATTTGTTCTAAATACCCCCTCCTCATATGGTTTTGGTACGAAAGCCCCTTCTTTGATCTCTCTGCTCCGTCTCACATGGTATGTATGTCGACTAGTGGCCGTAAAACTCTGCTTGCTGGGGCTCTCGAACGTAATGTCATAATGAACCTCACGATGCTCTGGCTTGAGCCTTTCGGCGTATGCATGAGTCTTGACAAGCTGACCATCTGAATCCTGCAAGTAATAGCAGTAACCAATCAAACAGCCAATATAAAGAGCAAAACGCAGTCGATCATCGTAGTCCTGGGCGGATATGTTGATCCAAAATTCGATCATTGAATCGAGGAAGCTGGAGAGTGGTGGGAGAAAGTCTTGCACGCTATCATCCATTTGGTAATACCATTCCTTGGCGGCGTGCAGCATTACGATAGTTGAAGAATGATTGTGAGCAAGTCGAATCGTACGCTCACTGAATTCTGGATCGTCTTCGAAACTACAGTCTGGTGTTGTTTCTTTGTATCCATTATCGAGAAGAACCTTTGCTGCCGCACAAGCGTCCTCCACCAAGAGATGAAGATCCCAAACCGCAGTTTTACTACCATGGAGAGCAAGAAGATCTTCGAGCCAGATCACGCTGGTGACATTTCTACTAGCCAATAGCTTACAGACTGCATAGCGATCTTCCTCGTAATCATTCTGATCCGAATTTCTGGGCCAAAAAGTGTGGGTTTTGATAAAGGTATTGCATCGGAGTAGAGCTAGTTTGATTTTCTCCATGACCGAAACTGAGTTGGCTTCGTGGTATCTTGATATCTTGTCATCAATCTAAAACAGGTCAGCGTCGTTTTGGGGACCTCGAAAGACGTAGTACCTGAGCTGCTCTGTCTTATGATCATATAGTTACTCGTACACACACGGCAGAAGAAATTCATTCTTGTTTAATTACTCATACGCGCCAAAGAAGGTCATTCTAAACGGTACATATATATCGTTTGGATGTCATTAGATAGTATTGTTTAGTTTCGCAAGATATGCATCATGTATTTATATATATACAGAGCATGCAGGCACTGCTCGTGAAATCAACAAATGACAAGACAACCCAGAGACCGGGCTTGGCCACCGCCTACTTATTAAGGAGATCAGTTCTGCCACCCACTTTGAGAACAAATTTATAAATTTATAAAATTTGTTAACAACCAACGGTTAGAAATGGATAATCCTGGCTTTTCGAGTGATCTTATGCATCATTTGATAATTAGATCTCCGTCTCAAGCGCTCAAGTCCCAACCCGACTATTCGGTCACCTACCTAACACCATTCGCTATGGTCAATTTCTTGGTCTTTGAAACACTGTGATAGGAGAGTACAAGGATGTTCATCAGCCAGGACGCTTAGATCTGTGATCTTGCTTGCTTATGGTCAATTGACATATGGGCTACGAATCAGGTGCTTGAACTGCTGCAACGCAACAAACTGAGCTCATTGACTTATTAGAGATGCGTTCACACCTCTGCTACAAATGCGACCCATGGCGGCTACAGAAAACATGTATCACGGATTTAGAATTTCGCGATCGGATTCTGAACGAATAGACATAGAAACACATTTAGCAGGGAAATTGTTATATATACACCCTCAAGCTTTGTATTCTCCAGTGAGATATCCTCTGCTTCAAAGTTGCTGGCAGCTTCCTATACAGTTTATATTTCGTTTTATTGGAGCTTCTCCCGATCTTTGTACCGTTTACATTGCGTTTCTGCCTGTTATATTTTTGTGTGGTTATATCTCTGTGTTTTCCAAGCTGAGCATGGGTAATTGCAGTTCAAAGGGAGCATCTGGAAGTCTGGAACCAGCAAAGCCAGTCTCAATTCCATTGCACAATTCTACTGCACAGCCTGCTGGAAATGTCCATCACGCACAGCATTCACAGGGAGCCCGCCCTCCACAAAGTCCCCACCGAACTGAAAAGCCAATGTCGCTGAAAATAAGGACCGAGGTCCTAAATGCTACACAGAAAGCATTTGGAAGCCTCAAGTATGGCGTGATCGGCGGTACCGCTTTAGCTCAGTATGGTAATAGGCGTACTACGTCAGATGTGGATGTTATGGTCCCAGAAGATGTAATTGACATCATCGAAGATCACTTGATCAAGCATGGAATGGTTCGAACAGCAGGAAAAGGAATAGGGTAAGTCCATCAACCAGATCATTCTTCACATTCGCTATCTATCTACACCCCCCTACCTTCTGTTAAACTCTGTAATTTGCATCTGAATTTTGGCCATCTTGCATTTCTAATGATGGTATCTAGATACATTGCTTCTGATGGAAATTGCTATGGAATTGACATCACCTCAGACAAGGCGCTCAGTCAGAAATTTCAGGCGCCACAAACCCAATTCCGAATTATGCCATTAGGTTTCCTTTTGAACTCGAAAGCATATTCCTTTCTATCGCGGGTTGGCCCAGACAAGCAGCAGAAAATGGCCAATGATGCACAAGATATTCTTTTCCTCCTGGGGTATATAAAGAAAAACAACTATAAGCTAGATGAGCGACACTGTCGATGGGTAGTCGATCATGATTTCTGGACTTTATTTTGCGGAACTTACAATTCTGCGGAGCGAGATTTTCATGCGCTTGGGTTGCAGAGAGATCAAACACCTAGCTCGAGCAACCGCGGATCAAGGCATTCTAGCATGGAGATAATGCGCCGCAGAAGTCAAAGTAGCGGCACCTGGTAAAATAATGGTGGTTGGTTTGCTCTACTTGTTTGGGTCACTTCTGTTCTTTTCGCTTGCAGATCAATAGAGTTGTAGCTATTTTTGCCTTGTCTCTAGATGGGGCTATTTTGTTTTTATTCTGTACAAGTCACTTGATAATCCAAGCCCAACGAGAGTCAAGTAATGGAATAAGTGACGTAAAGTTAACTTCATGATGCTAGGGTAATGCACGTCTGCTGTGTAGCGCGGTTTATGAGATTGCTGTTGGTCGGGCTTTAGTAGATTCATGCACCGTTGCCCTTCAACCCAAATACAAGAAGTCTCTTGAGATTGACAATCGAGCTCCTTCACTAGTTGTTGGGCTTTTTGTTTCTCGAATAGATTTTCCTTTTCAATGTTATTTCTGAAAATTCATAACGTCATTCAGCACAAAAACCTTCAAATAGACATTTCTAATCGTGCCTACTATTGATCGACCCTTTCTTTGTCTTGTCGACTTTCAAAGCCCCATGTCATTGAGATGGGCCCACTTCTATTGCATTATCAGCATGAGTTCTTGATTCTGAAATGAATCATATTACCTCTCATTCATCCTCGCAATCGAGTCTTCGCTTTCTCGATGGTTTTTCGTGGACAGGAGAGCCAGAGGGAATAGAAGAGGTAGAAAAAGGGACACTAATGGCTTGTTTTCCCATTGATGCGCTTAGACCCTTTACTAGCCATCCAATTTGATGCAGACAGTCTTGTACAGCATCGTGTTTTTGCCCTCGACGGTCTAGATCTGCTTCCTTGCGGAAATTTCGTTTCGTTATTTTGTTGGCCGTATAGTTGGCTATTATTGCGCACTTATGCTGCCAGAATAATACAGGCTGCATCAATTCGCAAGTTTCATATGCGAAATAAAGCCATTGATAACGTCCACCACTCTCTATTATTGTCTCGTACTTAGACTCTTTACAGCTTTTAATCCAGGCTATAAATGCTTGTAATGCCTCTTTGAAAGTCACAGTGCTCTCTTGGCTCTTCTTGAGTACCTGGGGACTGTTTATTTCAACCCACTGTGTCGTAACATGATCTTGAACTAGCCCATGGTCAAGACAACATTGTAAACTTGGGTATACTTAAAAGTGTGATTTCTCTTCTGTCTCAATATCGAAAAGAAAATGGCACCGATCTGGGTAATGGCTGGTTTGATCAGTTTAGGGTGACCGGCAAGTTCGCAATCAACCATGATATGTACATCAAGTTCTTCAGGCAGCATGTTTGATAATTATCCCAGAGAGAATTATTGAACAGTGTGTAATTCCAAGTCGGCAGGAGGACCTTGTAGAAGAATTCACTAAATTCCATTCATCGACAGCTACCTTTAAGCACTTTGTCTTTCATTATGCCCCTGTGCAAGAGCAGTCAGGAGATGCAGCGTAGTATTCATGCATGCACATATGATTCACTTATCTCTCGGCACCATTGTATATAATGGAGAGAGTTATTTGGCATTGGACACGAAGTACGACTTTTATTCATTGAAATACGCATCAATCCTTTTTAAGGCACAGAGTGCAGGGCACTTGCGTATAAGCCCAAGGGTCTTTTGCTGTCAGCCCGAGCTATTCGTTTACCAGCATAAGAATTTCGGTTTGTCGAAGCTGTGAATGAAGAGGTATCTTGTATATGCATTCATGAAGCCACTTTCTAGTTCGCACATGATCATGCCATGAATTACTTTTTTATCTCAATCCGACGTCGGCTCTATAATACCCTGATCAAACTGATCAGATATGCTGCCCGATACAGCAGTTCCATAGAATTGCTCCACTCAATTAAATGAGATTGAATACTTACCCAAGGATAGTAGGTGGACTAGAAAATGATTTGTCAAATTGATAGAAATCTTATATGTAAGATCAACACAGCATTCTATCTATATTCTCAGACGAGTGACGGATAACATGAATCGTAATCTATGGACGAATACTCATAAATGGCTTTATATTCTCATCATAGCTCTATTCTAACCTATGGGTCTAGCCGCGGTAGTTGAAGACTAGCGTCTAACTATTATACATCATCAAACTCCTCTTTCCCCCGTGTAATTTCGGTTATTTTTCCGATTCCCATGAATGAAATCAATATTACGCCTCAGGTTTCCTTCTCCCAAATCACAATCACCGTAATTTATGTCGAAGTCGTCATACTGCAATCCTACTGGCTTTTGCGCAATACTCGTTCTATCCTTTGAATTCTTTGGAGGAGGCAGCTTCTTCATCTCGAAAGATTGAGTGTCATATAGACTATTATCAATCCCATCGTTTCCTTCGTGAAAACCAGAAGAGTCTTGACTATTTTGAGCCTGGTAGGAAGCTTGAGTCTGGCCAAGTTTTCTCGTTTTTCTCTTATTTCGAAGCCAGTCTATGAGACGGAAAAGGATGAGGTTGAAGAGCAGTGTACACCAGAAAAAGTGGGCGAGGATCATGTAGAGGAATCCGTGTTTTACACTGATATCGAGGTTGAATTTGGTGAAGTCGAAGTCATGTTTGAGGATGTGGACGACACGGTAGATGAGGAAAGTTTGAAGGACTGCAGGTGCGAGGAGAGTGAATGTGAAGAACTGTAATAGTGGTGTTAGGCGTAATTACTTAGCAAGGAGCATGGAGGTTGCATAGAGAGAGAAGTAGACTTACGCAGAGAACAAGCCTGAAGGTTCGCTTCCAGGGCGTCAAGGTACTAATGAACCACCAGATAAATACAACTGCAACAATAGGCAGTAGAATGACATCGAGAATGTATAGGCAGAAAGATATGTAACCATAGTGTTTGAAGAGAGTCTGAATCTCCGCGGTGGGACCTGAGATATTCTTTTCAGAAAGTGGAAGTATGATGGTAGAACTAAGGGCGGGTAGTATGAGGTCATGTAATGCTAACAGATATGCGTTAATCAATTTGGGTCGATATAAACAGGAGAAAATGAACAGATATCAAAACATAATATACCTTGCTTTGAGTGATGACAGCCGTTTGTTATCTGAAACTTCTCCTCGGCTACCACAGTAAGACCAGTGACACAATAATGCAAGAGATATATATTATAATCCACAATCTCCTCCACTCTTGTAACATTCCCTCCTTTCGTAGCATGATTAACCACCGTTTCCTTTGTCGTTAATGTGAGGAGTTGCAAATGTGAATGATGCGAAAGCACAGCGATGAGAAAAAAAACAAGACCGAGAGCGATAAAAGCAAAGACCAAAAGAGAGAGAACGTATGTAATATACTTCTTAGCTTGAGCCTTGAGTATAGTCCAGAATCCACAGAAACAACCTCGTGCGTAGCCTTTAGCTCCTTTTTGGAACTGGCCACGGTTATTGTGTATATTTGATGCGTCTTTTGGTAGATCTATGCCGAAGCTTTGAGCTGTTTTGTTAACTTCCTGAAATTTACCATGAGCCTCCCGGACTCCTTTGAGAATTTCTTGTCCTTTGCCGTGATATTCACGCCCTTGCTTGATGGCTTTCCTGCCTGCTTGAAGGGCTTCGAAAGCTTTACCGGCGGTTCCCATGATGCGATTTGTTGTGTTTCCTTATTGTTTCAGACCTGTTAATCAAATGTAGTGTTATGCATCAAGGAGAAAATTAGTTGCACAATATCAAAATCATTATATAACTCGGAGCGTGAATCATCTCTTTTGTAATTTGGTTTATGTGGAGTCAAAACACACAATATTCACGCTTTCTTGTCTTGGGGCACATGAGCCTTAACCTCAATTTCCACTTTCATATCCTCCCTTGCGAGTCTCGAGATCCCAAGATAAGTCCAAACTGGCTGATGATCCGGACAGTACCTTTTCAAGCACCTTACCATCGTCTCCAACGACTTTTCGTCCGCCGGCACATGATATGATCTAATGGAAAACACATCTTCCCAGCCCTTTGAACCGGCCACTTTGAGTGTTCGCTCGATATTATCAAATGCCTGTTCAATCTGAAGAACTATATCGGGGCTTATGGCTTCAGTTGTGCGGTCCCATCCACCTATACTCTATGAGTCAGTAAAACAAGAAGAGCGAAAATGGAGCTTGAGAATAGCTGGTGAATGACGAGCACACACCTTGACCGGAACATTCAATAACATCTCCAACTCTAACAGCCTGGCTATACCACAGGTCCTGTTTGGCTCTTTGTCCGTAGCCCTCATAATTGGTGTAAGTTAAATGAGCCATGGTTATTGTATGGCGATATTTGAATGAGATGTATTCAAATTTACTCGGGGTAATTCATTCGTTTGTAAAATAGTGTTTGTGAATCGAAGTAATGTTCTGAGGGATGAGTTATGATCACAAAACGATATATCCACCGCGTGTGCTGTCAGTGACACACTTATTATACTGGTTTCTTGAGTATTATAAATCTGAAATTACCAATCAACGTTCCAGAACTTCTTGACTTCTTACCCCACTCGAAAGGCGTCCCCAGGATTTGAATTCGGGCACTGGCTAATTGTCCCACGTGAAATGCAATTCAGTAGTGAGATGCACATTTGGCAAAACAAGGAAGGTGCGAGTTACTTTACAATAGCGAAATTACTGAGAATACAGAAAGATAGACTAACTAAATTGTCTCACAACTATTTGTTTCATGGTCAAATGGCACATGACGATACGTGCTAGAAAGGTGTATTAGATCCAGATTAGAATCGCTCTAGCAAGCCCTATGATAAATTCCCATCGTCTCTTGGACCCAGTGTATGACAATGAATAGTCTCTATGAGATGAGATTCGTACCAACAACTCATATGTAACTCTTCTCCTCGAGGAGGAATGTCTTAATTCCGGCGAAGGACAGGTATCTGTGAGAATTTTATCAACTGTCGATGCTGATCTGCTTGGTTCGCCAGAAGTTCGCTGCTAGTCTAAACCCATTCTGGAACGATTGTCATCCAATACAGTCCTGGGTCGTTTCACTGAAGATTCGAAAATCGGTCCAGCAGGAACTGGAGTAATAGCAGAGCCTTGCAGTCCTCGAAATGCGTCGCGACACTTGGTCAGGTAGAGTATCTGATGCTTGCAGTCATCGATAGCATTGTGATTTTTACCGACGAAAGATTTGTCCACTTCACGTCGGATATTTCTTCCGGTAATTGAGAAAGCCGCTTCGCAGTAAGTTCGAACACAGAAATCGTTATAGTGCATCCATGGCTTTCTCAAATCCGCTGCTTTGCAGGCACTTTCCATCCACCGGCAATCCTGTGTGTTACCATATGCCCAGATCATTACTTGGAGGTCGGTTGGGTCGAGTACCCGGGATGTTTTTCTCAAGCCACTGAAGTGTATCCGAATCAGTGATTAAGCCGGATTCAATACAAGATTCTAAGTTGATGTCTATGGAGAAAGTCTTCAAGACCTTGCCGGTTTCGATATGAAAATGAATAGCGCCGGTCTGGATGATCGCAGGATTATGTTTCAATGGGTGTGCGGCTATCTCAAGATCCAGCATGGTATGAGTTCGTACATCTTTGGTCGACATGACTGCGATATAGGTTGGATTTATGAGAGCGTACTGTCAAATAGTATAGGCACAAAAGTTTGATACTATCCAAAAATCAACAAAACAACGAGGTGATGTGTCGGAAAGCAAACTTTATCAATAGAGTGATTGACTACCCACCCTACCGCACAAGCAGACTACAAACCTGCCGTCCATAAGAGACTACCATATTGAGAGAGATTCTTTGGGAGCAACACAGATTCACTACATGTAAATGAGACATCACCGACTTCCTGAAATTGAATAGACAGTATTGAATGCCTCATACTATTCATGAAGGCTGGCTGACTCCATTTCCTTGAATCTTTGCGTACAATTCAAGGAGATCATGGAATACTCTCAATTGAACAATTATTGTGTTGTCTGAACTCAGGACCTACAGTAGGTATTCAGCTCCAGAGACATGTCTTGGTGTCGATGATGTTTGACGTTTGCTCTTCAACTATAAAATGTGGGGTCTCGAAGCAGTGAAGTGAAGTTTGATGGATGGTGCGATCCCGGAGGCGGTGACATGGATAATTGGATGACTCAATGGGGCAGAAAAGTATCCCCCTCACCAAACAAAACTTGAAGTTGTGAATAAACTCGAAAACTTCAATTGACATTCAAATCACAAATTAATTATTTCATCATGTCTGGAACTACTCTTCACCTACGTTCTGAGTGTAAGTAATCAATGGCATAATGCTCCGCCACCTACTAATGCGATCATCAGTGGGCAAAGCTCTTGAGCATCGATCAGCTCTTACCCCCACTACCGCCAAAGCTCTCATCGATGCTGGATACACAATCAACGTTGAGCGCAGCCCAGAGCGTATATTCGATGATGAAGAGTTTGAGAAGGTCGGTGCTACACTTGTGCCAGAAAACACATGGAGACAAGCACCAAAGGATCACATCATCATTGGGTTGAAGGAACTGCCCGTTGAAGACTGTAAGTTTCTGCTTGATTTGATATCAATGGATGCGTCTGATAGTTATCAATAAGTTCCTCTTGAGCATGTCCACGTACAATTCGCACATTGTTATAAACAACAGGGAGGCTGGGACACCGTTCTATCACGATTCCCTCGTGGAGGTGGAACTCTCTTAGACCTCGAATTCTTGACAGACGACAGAGGCAGAAGAGTTGCAGCCTTTGGATACCATGCTGGATTTGCTGGTGCAGCATTAGCACTCGAAAACTGGGCATGGCAACTCACCCACCCAGCATCCGAGCCCTTCCCAAGTGTATCAAGCTACCCCAACGAAGATGAATTGATTGTGGATGTTAAGAAGGCAATCGCAGCTGGACAAGAGAAGACTGGCAAGGCACCACGAGTTTTGGTCATCGGTGCATTAGGCAGATGTGGAAGTGGAGCAGTTGATCTCTGCTTGAGAGCTGGTGTGCCAACTGAGAATGTGTTGAAGTGGGATATGGCTGAGACTGCTAAGGGAGGGCCATTCCCAGAGATTGTTGAGAGTGACATCTTCATCAACTGCATATACCTCATGTCCAAGATTCCAAATTTCGTCGATATGCAAAGCCTCGATACCCCAAACCGCAAATTGTCAGTCGTCTGCGATGTCAGTGCTGATACCACCAACCCCAACAACCCAATTCCAATCTATACTGTTGCAACCACATTTTCAGAGCCAACTGTTCCAGTTGAGGTCAAGGGAGAACCAAGATTAAGTGTCATCAGTATTGATCACTTGCCAAGTTTATTGCCAAGAGAGGCAAGTGAGGCATTCAGCAAGGACTTATTACCAAGTTTGTTGTCTTTGAAGGATTGGAGAAACACTCCAGTCTGGGCCAAGGCGGAGAAGTTATTCCAGGAAAAGGTTGCTACTTTGCCTAAGAACGAGGCATAAAAATTTGAATACAAAAGCATCTTTTAGCATTAGCAATATGATACAATAAAAAAAATAGAACATTGACGATTGTCTAGCAATGCTGGACACACATCATGGCTACAACCCAACATGAACCCAAATCCGCAACTGCATGAAGTGTAAACTAAGGGTAGTGAATGAACGAGATGTAAATCGTCAACAGCCCTCAACATTCTAATATATTTGCTTGAGGCAATGACTCCGTTTGAGATCTTGAATTGTTTAGTTAGTTAGGTACAATGAACACGCCTGAATCAACGAGCGCAATTGGAACATCCAAACGACCTTTGACAATCAAATTTTCTAGAACATTTAAATGTTTTGAGATATTTGAATAATTCATAGATTATCCAAAGGACCTGAAAATTCAAGCAATATAGAATATTCAAATAGTTTCGAATGTTCAAATGACTGAGAATGTTTAAATGATATAAATATTCAAACACTCTAGAATGTTCAATTCAAAGGAGATATCGAATAGATCTGAAACATTGAATTTATTTCAAAGGCAATTGTGTCTATCTACAAGCTAAAATAGAGGCAAAAGAGACTGATTTAAAAACAAGCAAGAACCTCCTCCCGCATTTCCGCCTCCAAAATGTAGAGTTCAGAATCAAAAAAGTAACAAAAAAGTGCGGCACCCTTTAATCTCAGGTTTAAACTGAGTATGGAATGAAAGAATGTTCTCAAGAGAACCTTCTAATAGGAATCGAACCAATATCTCCGGAATCAAAATCCGACGTGCTAACCATTACACCATAGAAGGGATTTCGCGAATTTGTTATGGAGGAAGTGACGATCTACTTATATAAAGAGTTTGCAAAAAACTATTCCTCACCCCACATCAAATATAAGCTTTTTGAGGGGCAATCGACACGTGATAGTGGGGGATTTTATTATTACAGTGGGCGTTGAGGTGGAGTGGAGAATAGCTTTGAGGAATGGAGATGAAGGGATTTATTTCCTTTGGATTAATTAACATTTAGTTTGTATAATTAACGTATTCAATCTCGTAGCAGAATCGATGTTTTTAGGCGACGACTAGCTTTGAGACCTCGCTTGACTGCCTGCACTTTTCGTTTGTGTCTCAATCCCTCCTTCGCCTCTATTTCTGTTGTAAATAACTTACTGTAATATAGTATAGTATATGTTCAGTCTGCTTAAACATCGGAATAGTTTGTAATATTCAAATCGATTTAGACATTCTAATCATTACAAATTTCAAAATTGTATTAAAAGATTATATATTTATATTATTTCAAGTGTTCAAGTCATTTCATACATCGAGATTAATTCAATTGTACAAATCAGTTTGAAGATTTCAATCATTACAAATTTCAAAATCATACTGAACGGTTATATTCATAAACATTTGAGTCAATTCAATCATGCAAATCGGTTTGAACATTCAGGTGCCCCGCTATACAATTTGTATCTGAAAACGTTCAATTATATTGCTTTCATATGAGCCTTGAAGGACACTTCTCTGACTATGTGTGTATTCGATTATTCATGTATCTTACTCCTGAACCTATAGGTAGCCCAATATTAATATGACCTATTTATTCCCAACCCCCAACCAGCCTTTTGAGTATTTACCATGAGCCCATTGCATTCATACCGCCTATTTTTGTACTTCAAATCACAAATCAGAATCTACCCAAGCAGAGTCCAATACAAACTTCCCACCGACGTTACTCCCGCAAAAATCATCGCCTCCACTATAAAAGCCGGCGCAAGATACGACGTAATCCATCTCGCAACCGCCGCTCCCACAAAGCCCATCCAAATCACCACTGCAGTAGTACTCCACAGATTATCCCACCCTGCAAATCTCGACTTCTTCTGTTCATTCGCATTTCTCATGCTCGTTCCCCATCCTCCCTCTAAAACTGTAACAACAGACCAGAACATAATGCCCGGTAGAGGCAGTTGATAGAATAACTGAGAAAGAACGAGATATTTAATACTAGCCACATATGCTTTATTGCGCCAAAAGTTGTAACATGTACATAAAGCCACACGGAGGAGGAAATCCCAGGATTGGAATGCATGGACCGTGTAACCTGTGAAAACGTAACGAATGGTGAAGACACCAATAATCAATGGTCCGTAGAAACGACGCATAGCTGTTACAAAAAGGATGACACCGTGAATAGAGTAGATTTGCGGATATTGAAAACATTCGATATGAGTAGCACGGGCCCAACGCATTTGCTGGAGGAGCCAGCGGAGAAGTGTGGTAGGGGTATCAGTGGAGGCGAGTGCGGAGGTGTTGAAGGTTACTTTCCAATTTTGGAGGAGGAGATTGGTAGTTAGATGACGATCTTCGTTGACGACAGTTTTGACTCCAAGAGAAGTTTGCGTGTACCATGGTAGAAGAATAGACTCAAGTGCTATGAGACGAAAAGCGGCACATGGACCAGGTTGACAGTCTACAGCGTCTACGGCTCCGGTTTGTCCACGTGTAATAGCTAACCTGCAATGCGTCATTATTAGAAATCTAATCCTTTCAAATAATTGGATGAATGAAATACTTACTCAGACCAATAAGCTGCACTACCTAAAGCAGCGATCGCACTCTCCTGATCGTTATGAATGCTCAGAGCCGAGCAACTACCTCCAATTAACGGATCCGCGGACATACAACCGACTGTTTGGTACAAAGTATCCGGATAAACGATGGTATCAGAATCGCTAGTCCACAAGTATTCAATATTGTTCCCCTGTCCCAATGCCAAAGCGAAAACCATATTGGTAAACATGATATCCTTCTTGCATTTGTGAGGTTGGTAGAGACATATTGGGTGGAGGGATCTGGTCTTAGAATCGCGGGACGGTGATAGAGCATTATGTTCACGGAGGGTTGTGAGCGCTTTTTCGAATACAGTGCGGAAGGCATAGGCGTGGGCTTCGGAGAGAAGAGCGGGGGGACATCGGTGGAGTCGAACGATGTGGGTGTGGATCCCCATTTTGTAGATGATGACTTTTCGTCGTAGAGTTCGCGGGTGATGTAGTTTTGAGCAATGCGGACAGCGAGAGGACCATATGGCTCTTCAACGTGAATTTTTATAAGATCTGGGAATACCTTCAGAGGGACACTTGTTAGTCTTTCAATGTTTCTAGACCACGGCTGAGCATTCTTGGGGGCTGGGGCTGGGAATACACACTTGCTGTGCCACAGAAACCATCTCCATATCTCCATCATGATCCCCATCGATTCCAATGAGCATAATCTCTAGACCCGGGGAATTGTGATAACTCTGCAAACATCTCCTCCACAGATTTGTCTCTTCACGATATCCCACTACAGAAGCAATACACTTCGCAGCCACATCGTCTCTTGTCTGAATTCCCTTCTCTGCATCTTGTAAAGAAAGTTTCTGTTCTAATTGCTTGACTCTTTCCACGTTTTTGCTTCGATTGATCTCTGCTAGGGAGATTTGCCATATACTTTCGAAGGTAATTGGGGCAAATGTAACATATCTTCTGAAATAACGGAAAATGAAAAAGAATGTGACAATGCAAAGGATGCCGTTGAAGATTTGCCTATGCAAGGACGGTAATACAGGTACCACAGGCATGGCCCCTCTTTCGCACTTGAAGAATAGAATCCGATAGATATAGATAGCACAAACGAGTGGATGACCAAAAGAATGTATAAAACCGCTTTGAACAATGGAAAAAGTGTCACTGGAACATTTTCTACTGCGGCCCATGCAGCTAAGTCTTTATACTTACGACGATCATATTGGCTTGACCTTATCTCTCCCTACCGGGCTAATCGGTCAAGTCGCGGGACTTTAGAGCTTAGTATCTTTAGGATGACGATCAAAATAAAACAATTTCTATCGTCCACTCCGTATACGGGGAAGCAGATAGTAGGGAATGAGTGTAGGCAGGAAGGCAACAAACCTTAGTGTGCTGCGTCGAGACGGATTGGCAATTTCCGCCAGCCTCCCATGTCATTAAAACCTTTCGAGAACTTTTTGACTGCAAGGTAGCATTTGGTAGCCTTGCATATGGCCCATTATCATTGGTTTGGTCATGCATGAAGCTTAAATAAAGTATTGAATAAACTTTAACAGAGTGAGAGTGGGGTCGGACTCAATTGCTGAGTGCAAAATACCGAGAGAGAACCCATGATGTGCTCCAGGGTAAATCTTCAATTCGAATAAACCTTAACAACAACAAAAGCCCCTTTGCTTGACATAAACCGGTGGGAACGCGTAGATCAGGGCTCCCATGCCTCATGTGGGCCTTTCCAAATACTTGGCTCGTATTGTCAACATCCTTGTATCGCATTTGTTGAAACCCTCTACCATGATTCGTATCACCCATAATAAGCATTGAATGCATTAAACCCCACCGTTTCTCTGAAGATTGTTGAACTTGTCAGATCTATACATATCGCTCGTCGTATATTTTCCTATGAGAATCATGGTAGATGTTGCAGCTGAGGAATTATGCTATTTCTTAGAGGTCCACGAGGTCTTGCATTGATTTTTATCATATTGAGTTTTCTGACGCTTTATTATGGCTACTTGAGGCTTGATGTACATCCGAAGCTACACGATGGCGAGTTCGCTGTACCACCTCATGCGGAGGTTGTAGTAGAACCTATACGCTTAGCAGACGGGAAGCCTACGAAGTCTGCGGAGAAGGCGGTGTATCCATCAATATCACCCCACGCTCCGCCCAGCACTACACCTAACGTTGCATCTACGGTGCCAAGTTCAGAGCTATCAGTGTCATCATCTGACATTTTGTTAATCATCAAGACGGGTGCAAGTACGGCATGGCGTCGAATGCCTATGCAGCTGTTAACGACACTATCAAGTTTGCCAAACAGTGTGATATATTCGGATCTCCAAGAGGATCTTTCTCATGAGATCCAGACAATAGACGCTTTGCAAAACGTGAGCGATACTCTCCAGATACATGACACAATTGCGTATGACATATACCAAGATCTACATACCAAAATTCATGCGTACAGAGAGCAAGCTCAGCTTCCGGGCGACGAACCTGAACTCCCACCGGGAAATAAGCCAGGTTGGAAGTTAGACAGATACAAGTTTCTTCCCATGCTAGAGCATGCTCAGAAGAACTTTCCTGGGTTTAAATGGACTGTGTATATTGAGGACGACACTTTCGTCTTTTGGTCAAATCTTCTCCCATGGCTATCAACACTCTCAGCTGACGATGAACCGGCTTATTATGGCTCTTCCTCGGGAGAAAGTAATGCGACATTTGCGCAAGGAGGTTCAGGAATCGTATTCTCTAGGTCTTTGATGAAGTCTGTTTTCACTGGACCTAAAACCCCCACTGTGCAAGAGTATGCCAAATTCACTGCAGGTGAGTGCTGCGGTGACATGGTTCTTGGCAAAGTATTGCGCGATCATAATGTGCTTTTAAACAGAGGGAAAAATGGCCCATTGTCATTCAGACCCGAACCACCCTGGAAAACAGGATTTGAAGAGTTCTTATGGTGCAAACCAGTCTTCACGTTTCATCATTTGCACCAGAGGGATCTGGTTCAACTGGCATTATTGGAACGGCAACACAGTCAAAATAACCTTCTTTCGGTAGGTTGTCATCTCATGGATATTGTACCCTAGATAACGTTAACGAAATATGCCAGCGACCAATTATGTTTCGTGATATTTTCCTTCAAACAATATCACCTTACCTCAAAGACCGCCGTGATGATTGGGACAATTCCGCATCTCGTCACAAACTTACAGAGAATATCACCACGATTACCAATACACCTTGGGGTCCACCTGCTCCCGTTGTAGAAGATAAAGGTGCTCTTGAGCAAGCTTATACTTCACCTGAAGCGTGTCTCGCGGCGTGCGTCGCATTATCTACTTGCCGTATTTGGAAGCACGAACTCAATAACGAAAATGAGAAGAGCTGTAGTTTGGATGTAGCAGTAATTCTAGGAAGAGAAATTGAGGGACGGGCTTCATGGGATACAAGCGTGATTAATAGTGGATGGATGGTCCAAAGAATCAACGAGACGTTAATGGAGGATAAATGTGAGGTTGTTGAGTCACCTCAGGTTTGGTGATTATATTGATTGGGCTTGTGCATTGAACAATGATTGTTTTGGTCGACAATAGAATGTAAGTTTAATTGAAATTAGAGCATGCGTACTAGCAATATATTAGAGTTTGTCGTTTTGTCAAAGGGGGAAAGTGCGATGGATGGAATAGGCGAACTACTTAAGGAAAAGGGTCAAACATAGCGTATAAATGAGATATCAAAAGAAAAGTTTGCGATAGGAAAGGTTTGAGATGAGGTTCAATGTTTTCTAAAATTATCCATAATGAAGTCGGTTTTCAATCTCCACACTTGAGCTAACGATTGAACTTTCTCTGATGGCTAAATGAAAATTTTCCACGTATTCGTACTCGCACTCCCAACTATAGCTCATGTGAATAAATCGGTACTGGCACTTAAAGTTGCAGATTCAGGCTCCATAAATAAGTTATCATGTATTATCAGATTAAGTCATATTGTTATATCTAAAATATCGTTCGCTTATATAAATGCATCAAAATCCAAAACGCCGAACCTTGAGGTCTGGAACCTGTAAGTCTAGAAATCCAAAGCACCACATTCCTTCTTTTCAAGAACCTTCCTAATTCTATCCACCATCCACCCACTTTCCATATAAACACCCTCATTAGCCTTCGCTCCTATCGCCGCAGTGTGACTGAGATGGCAATCGTCATCTTGATACTTCCAGGTCAAACATTCATCCCAGTCTACACAAGCCTTTTTGCAATTTTCCTTCGATGCCCATGGTCTTTCATTCTTCTGAGCTGCAGTTAACGCCTTTAAATCGGGCGACCAGGAATCTTTCGTCGATGAAAATGATTTGACTGATGCATAATTATTCCATTCTGAACGTGCAGCAACTAGTTTCGGAGCAAAGAAATGTTTAAAAACATCGCGATAACGTATGCGTCCCTTTCCTTTCGTCTCTTGCATGAACTGGTTTTCAAAAACGAACAATTGGGAAATATCCGCTTGGTGGACTTTATGGATATTCATGAGTGGTGAACACCAGTTCCAGTCACCAAAACCAATTCTCCATATTGGAAGGGACTGCAAGGCAGCCCATCCACCTCCATCCAATTCATTAAATCGCTCTACGCCCATCTCTTTCATGGCATGGGAAAGTACCTGATCTCCACAGCAATGATCCTTCGCATAAAATTCGTACTTGTCAGCCAGAGTCTTCTCTGCACCAAATGAAGTTGCCATAGCCTTTCCAGAAACAGCGATTCCAGATCCACCATGAGCAAAATCTTCGCCCATCTTAAACGCTGGTGATCCAATCAAAAGAGGAGATGTGTGGTCTAAAGTCGAAAGCCATGCATAAAGTGTCTCCCAAAAGAAATAGTTATCGTCCTCCATATACACATACCATTTCTTGCCAGGGTGATGAATAGCAGCATGTTGAAACATGGGCAAGAACTTGTATTTGTCTAATCTCCAGCCACCCGGTAAGTACGAATCTCCCTCAATGCCTGCACTCTCTTGGTACAAGTTGTCGTTGAGAACTTCTTTGGCTTTGTTATAGAGTACAAAGTCAGGCGATGCTTTCAGAGTTGCCGATACATTTGCGAGAGAATCAATGACCGGATTTCCATTGATATTGTCCGCGATGTCAGAGTAGTAGACGACGTTGGGAGTACGTTGTTTGTTGCCCAATGTGGTCGACATGTGCATAGGCATCCTCCTCCAAATGGACGTAGCACCAGTCTTGACCAAAATAACGACATCTTTCGGATCGAGACACGTGCTACTGTGGATCCTGCTTGGTTCTTCTGCTACCGGCTTTATATAGCTATTGTCATCGTTGATTGGCGGGGATGCTAAAGGAGTTGTAGACGGTACATCCAGATTTATAGAATAATCTTGTAGTAATGGACCGCCATCTGTCGCATCCCAATTTGCTGATCTGTTAACAAACAGAACATTGTTTTCGCTCAATCCCATAACAATGAATACTGCGACAAGAAAGCTAATCCATAAGTATCCCTTGAGATGTCGAGGCAAAAAAGCCCCATACTGTGAGGTTGTCATCTTTGAAGACTGTTGAAGTAACTCTAGTACGGGATATAAAAGAACTTAATAAACTTTTAAGCAATCCAAAAGATAGATAGAATGAAACTTGAAAAACTCCGATCAGGGGAGGAAATCATTGGCATGGAAGTATGTATAATAAAGGCAAAATTTATATGAGATTTGCCTATGCCTGTAAGTTGTCATGCAAACCTCGTCTAATCGTCTGACAGTGCATGCTGTACAAGGACAAGGGATCATGCGGGTTATATTATTGTGTGGGGCTTAGATCAGGCTGGAATACGAATTCTCCTCATCAGTTTGGTAGCCTTGCATACTTAGATCACATTTTATTCTTTTCGAGAAGAGTTCCGAGACAATTGCAGAAAAGACTTCTCCGGCTTGAAATAATAAATAGCAAAAGCTCTCCGCACTAGGCAGTCACTAGGCATGGCAAGGCACTCGTGAGTCGTGGGACGAACATCTTTCAACCGTCTCCTTTTGCCTAGCCAATAGTACCACAATTTCACAAATCAGGAGTTCTCTATCATGTGATAAATGGGGTCAATGGGTCTTCTTTTGCGGTCTTGACTCTTGAATCTTACACGAAGACTAAAACACGAAGATCTTCTACTGTTAAATCCTTTAGCCGATCGTATTTTATTGTCTGTGGATATTTTCAACTCAAAATCCCTCAGGGAGTCGCGATTTAGTGATGTTATATTAATCCGAAGTATAATTCCATTTAAAGTTATCCATATTCGTATACACCCGTAGTGAGACCGCGGAGTTGAGACAAACATTGCCCAGATCTTTTGTACCCTACAGGTTTGCTTCCAAACTATTCCATGCAAGGACTGTGAATGTAAATTGATGTGCGTTCCGGCATATTTTCAGCTGCAGGTACCTCTAGTGATTCCCGATCGAAAGTTCGAATTGCAAAATCTAATCGACAGCCTTACCAGTGAGACATGGTTAGCTTCAAGAATTTGTATTATTTTGACTTTTTAAGTCTCCGGCTTGTCACCGGTAACGTTATTGACTTTGTAGGCATATTAAACCAAGACATTCAGGTTGTAATCCTCATGCAATCAGGGTCTAGATTCAATGAATATCCAATGCTTGATTTCTGATTCGCCTTACGAGGATGCCGACCACAACGGGGCCGACTATAGTGCAAATTACTACAGCCCAAACGATGACAAGGAAAACTGCTTCTCCGGAAACAATGGCAGTATTTTGTTGGTTCTTCAACAATAGTGTACCAGAGCTTTGTGAGAGGGACGCGATCAAGAACCCGATTTCTCCTCTGGCAACCATGGCGAATCCCACTAGCAAGGCTTCTAAATGTGGAGGACGAGTAGACTCTGGTGCCGACGATTGAGTTTCTCTTGGTTTGCTCCAGGATTTTGCGAAGTACTCGAAATACATAACAAGGCTCACTAGGCATTTTGCAATTACCATGAGTATAGAGTACACAATGCCTTTCCAGACGATGGAGGCTTTAAACATGTCTGTAATTGGAATTGAGAAACCAATGGACGCCTAGATAGAACACATTAGTTCAGCTCCTTAAAATCAAGTATTGCTAGCAGGTTGGCCAAAGTCTGGGTTAGTAGGCTAGACGTGAACGTTTGAGGAGGGTTCAATTCAGAATTTCAGGCGATATTAATGTCCCGAATGGAATAATATCTGAATGTGATTCATTATCCAATAAGGATCCGCCATTCCAGAAAAATTGAGTATGCCAAATCAGTTCCAAAAGCAAGCATCTCTTGTTGTCTACCAGCAGTCCTGACTCTTGAGTATCCAGTACCGGATGGTGGAAGGAAGTAAGATAAAGTTTAAAAATACTTACAAAGAAAAAGGGTACCAATATGAAGTCCATGATTGGTTTATAATACTCTTCGTACATCACCTGAGCTGGGTTTGACCTCGGTTCTTCTTCAATACTACGGTTTCCGACGTCCCATAGGTAATTAACTACGCCCCCAGCAATAAATGCGGCGAAAAGAACAGACGCATCGATAAAAGATGCGATAGTAACGAAAATGATCAGTATCAATGTTGAGAGAAGGAACCCAAGATTGGGAATCCTCCGAACTTGCTTGAGAGCTATTTCCTTGATATCAGATTTGCCCCCCGTGGAAACGTTAGCCACTGTTTTGGGCTGAGAGCACTTGACAAGGTAGAGCCAAATCGGCTTGAGTAAATAAGCGCCTAGACCAAGGGAAACCAGAAGTAAGCCGAAACTCGCGACTATTGGTCTTGCAATTGGCCATCCACCCATACCTCCACTCCCCAGGGTTGTAACAATGTTCACCATAACAAGGCCAACAACGTCGTCCATCATCGCAGCTCCTACGAGTATCACACCGACTCTCGTATGTTGCATATTTGCAGAGGAGAGAATGGCGAATGTCGTTCCCAGAGAGGTCGAACATAATGATGCCCCAGCCGAGAAGGCTGCTAGAGGAGTAGGATACACTGTCCCAGAACTACTGGGAAATGGTAAAATAAGCAACAGGAAAGACAATGCAATGGGCACTAATAGGCCAACGGTAGCTACCGATATCGAAATGTAGGCAGCTTTCCGAAGCTGTTTGAGATCTGTACTGAGTCCTCCTTCAAACACAAGACCTATCAGACCTAGGTAGCCCAATGCTTGAATCGTTTCTTGATACCCCTTTGTCAGCCATGCTGTTCCTCCGACTGGTAGACCCCATATTATCCCTATGAGAATTTGTCCTATGATTCCACAGTACAGCAGTCGATCTAGAATGTATCGAGTGATGTTTAACAAAACGATAAATGAGGTCAATGAAAGAATGACCTCAATTCCAGGCTCCTCGTATGGAAGGAACGGCATGATCAATACGTGACGATTGCGGTATTCGATAGAAAGAAAAAAAAGGGAAAAATAAAGCTTATACTATGGTGAGAAAAAATCAAAAGATTCTCTTCTCTGAGAGACACAACATGATCTTCGAGAAAAATCTCTCCCAAGAATTCAATGAACAAAAATCAAGGCACGAGATTGAAAGCCAGCCACACTTTCCCGCCACAACTGACACGCTCGAGACACTCTAGCCACACCAACCTTACAATCCACCGAAAATTGAAGCGATAACGCTAAGATTAAATTTTTGAGTTGCGATAAGAAAATATATCTCTTCATCGCAAGTCTCAAAGCGACATTCCTCCATCAATCACCCACTCCAACAACCCCCACCACTCCCTCACATTCGCGTTCACGATCACACTACCTCAAAATGAACGCCCACGCTCTTCTCACCTCTCAGGGTTGGCGCGGAACCGGTCATTCTCTCCACCACAGCTCCGACACCATTGGACTCTCGCGCCCGTTGCTCGTTTCGAAAAAAGACAATCTTTTGGGAGTGGGGAAGAAAATGCACAAGACGGCTGATATGTGGTGGTTGAATGCTTTTGATGCTTCGCTGAAAGGATTGGATACGAGTAAGGAGGGACAGGTTAAGGTTCAGGAGGGAGGGGGTTTGGAAATGGTGGTTAAGGGTGGAAGTAAATGGGTCGGGGGGAAGGGAGGGTTGTATAGCTTTTTTGTGAGGGGGGAGACGGTTGGGGGGACGATGGAGGACAAAGAGAAAGAGAAGAGGGCTATAGAGATAATCGCTAAGGAAGAGAAAAGCGAGAAGGGAAAGGGAAAGGACAAGGATAAGAAGAGGAAGGGAGAAGAAAGAAAAGAAAGTAAGGGAGAAAGGAGGGCAAGGAAGGAAAAAAAGAGGGCGGAACGAGCGAGGAAATCCGCCGCCAAAGAAGCCAAAAAGATAAAGGGGGGAAAGGAAGCCAAAACACCAAGCGCCAGCTCAACAGACTCGGAAAAGACAGAAACCAAGGAGGAACGACGAGAACGAAAGGAACAAAAGCGACAAAAGAAACTGTTACGAAAATCAGAGAAGGAATCATCGGATACATCATCAACGTCAGAAAGTGCCAAGAAGAAGAAGTCGCGGAAGAATAAATAGATTTTTGGCCTTGTATATCCTACAAGTCGACATAGCAAAAGGCGTTTTTGGGCACGGAGTTTTGTGATCACAACAGTGACCCTGGCGTTCTAGATAATGTATGGTATCTTAATTAGATTTGTGGAATTCTAAACCTCGAACTATATCTCTTTCGGTATCTTTCCAGGCTTATTGGATAGAAGCCATGGTCTCCTCTGCCAAAATTCGTCTTTAATGACATCTACATGTTGTACCGTGATTCTGGCCTTTGCTCTTCTCTTCCTGTCCTTTTCTTCTTGTGTCTTTGAGAGTTCCTTCTGCTCGATTGTCTTTGCTGAATCCTCATCGACTGCTTCTGACGCTCCCGGTTCCACTAACTCATACTATGATCAAGTCAATTTTTCGTTGGAGTAAATTAGGGTAAAGACTTTAACTCACGTCTCGGAAAACTACGCTCCCCTTTTTGTAGATTTCAGGCTCATTGTTATAATTGATTCCAAACCTCGAGAACAAAATCTCGTTTTTGTCTGCAGCCAAAGATCCCTAAAATTCACATGACGTTAGGTTTGGAAAGTATTCATTCGAGAATTTTAAAACTCACAGCAAGTTCCTTCTCCGCACCTTTTGCATCAAATCCTCCCTTCTGAATCAATGTCCAAAAAGTGGTATTGTAAAGATTGTTGATGTGACCTTCACTCATCAGGACCAACCCAGTGAAAACAGAGGCAGGAAGTAAAATATGAGAAAATACATACAATCAACTTGTCTCCAACTCATATAATCCCTCAAATTCTGAACACTAGGATATTGCACAGCTCTACCATCAAAACTAGGTAACGGTGCCGTGAGTTGCATTCCCGGGTCCGGGAAATAGGTAGACCAGAAATGCACATAGTATGCTGTGAAAGTTGATACTATTGTCGTGACCAGCTTACTACAATTTTTGATCAACATTTTGTTTTCAGTCAAGAAGTTCCTCAAACAAAGGGTTGAGGGTAAAGAGACATACCTTGAGCGTCTCTCAAAAAGCACACATGATTTATGGAAGACAAAACTATGACCGCCTACTTAGCAAGAACTCTCGATCTAAAACCAATACAAAATTAAAAACAAACCTATACTCGTCACTAATCCCATAGGCAATCACAATATCGGACATTTCCATCATGACAGCCTTCGCAGCCGCATTCATCAAATCCAGCGCTCTCCGATCATTCGGTTTCTCAAAGGCATATTTGTCTGAGAATCTATGAACTTTAGTTTCCGGTACATGATCAAGTAGTAGAGTAGCTTATGCCATAGAGCAGGGCGAGTAAAACATACTTATGAAATCCCCGACCATCAATACGCACTACGATCCATGTATTTGGGATGAGTAGATCAGGTTGCTCAAAGGCTTTAACATATTCATATCTAAGATATTCGTGAGCTGAGTCAAAACTTCAAAGTGGACGTGCCCGACAAACTACTTACTTTGAATTAGCCATGGTCAATTTTCGAGGTGGATGTGAGAATGTTGTCGATATGGCATGGGGGTCGAAGAGCTGAAGGGATGTATGTGCATTAAACATGTAGATTTAGCCAAGCGAGGTCTCAGAATAGAAAGCAGCTGAGAACGGTCATTGGGTGCGTCATGTTCACATGTACCACGGATTTTTTGGAATTTGGAAAAGCTATAAATTAGAAGCGCTATCTACCTATATTGATCTTGATACTGAAAAACGTATATCGAAAATACCTGATAACTATCAGGTAAAAAAGAAAATTAATTTGAACCTAGCTAAGCCCTAAAAATGAACTGGGTCATAGCTTATTCAGCCAATCTTTCGATGAAAAATCACCACCATTATCTTTGTTTCGTCAAGAAGATGCATCTCAGAGAACCTCTACTCTTTCCTCGAGAGAGACATATCGCACGGCAGGATGGAGAACGCTTGTTTTTATACGTTCTGATATATCCTTCTTGGAGAAATACAATCAATATAAGAGTTCTAAGGATCTTTATAGTGTTCGAGGTGTGATAGGTGATCTGCTCATAATACAAAATATAAAAGTATTGATAACGACATCCCTGCGTATAGATTTGACAGAGTTAGACTAAATAAACACAATTGCGTCACCCTGAATGTTCTCGTATAACCCCCTCGTTACTGCATCCACTCGCTTTTTTTAACATATACAATTTACGCGTTCCCTCCTTCATATGTTCCTATCCTCCTCAATCAACCCAATGCGCCCTACCTCTATGATATTCTAATTTTCTCCTCTTATACCCAGATCTCAACCAACCCCCATATTCCTTCCTCTCGTTGTTAACCTTGCCAATTTCCTCTTGCTCAACCACCCTTCTCCTTGCCCGATCTAGCTCCGCGTGGTCGCGTACACCAGCTCTCAAATCAGCTTCGCGTTGTTTCTCATTTTTCCTTTTCTGAACCATCGCGTGGTGCTCAGCAATACTTCTCCGTACCCTATTCCTCTCTCTCTCTGTCCTCCGCACCATAAGTCCTCCTGAATACTCAAATAGAAAGTCTCTCTCCTCCGCGTCTTCAATCATCCAGTCCATCTTTACCAATTCAAGGGGTTTGTATTCTCTCTGCAATCGCAATTTTGGGGCCCAATCTGGCAATTCCCTATACATGAATCTCTTCCTCTCGTCGTTGAGCTTCTGTACCTTGAGATATACTTCTACAGCAGTTGGTCGATCGGTTCGGTTAAGTGTCATGGCCCATCTAATCTCGGTTTCTAACCGTAAAGTCAAATGCTCATTTATAGGCTCAAACCTCGACTCTTGACTTCGTGCAGCAAGTAGGAGTTCTCTTTGTTCTGGGTTTGCGCGATGAAACTTAATGATCTTTCCAGATGAGTCTACCAGGGTGCACCCTTTGTTTGGATAACGTCCCCTCCTAGCCGCCATATATATCATGGCGCCTACGGACCACACATCATACTTTGCACTCATCTTGGTGTCTGGTGGATCACAGGTACTATTTCCGTAATTATGATCGCGAGTACCATGTCTGGGTAGATGTAGGGACTCGCCAAAATCTCCCAATTTGACAGTCGGATATGTATTCGGGGGAGCATTTGCAGGAAGTGATTTTATGAAGACATTATTTGATTTAATATCACGAGCGACAGTTGTTTCTAAACGTCCCGCAAATTCTGGTTTTGTTATGTACTGGGGATGCTCGCCATGGAGAAATGCAAGGCCGCTAAACAACTGTTCGAAAGTGTGCCACTGAGGGTTGAGATTAGTTATGTTTCGGTTCAACAAAAATAGGATGGTGTTAAACTCACTATAAATCCTTCGGGCATGTATTCGTCCCTCTCTCGAAATTCACTTACCATGTCGGAAAGAGTGCCAAGATCGCAAATCTCCAGAACAATCAAAGAAAAAGGATTTCCCAAGACGTCAAATTCAGCCCAACCAGCCATGTTCATGACATTAGGGTGTCCTGATTTGATATATTGAAGGAATGTTGTTATCTCCCTTCCACGTTTGGAGGTTAAGCTCAATGCTTTCATTTGCTTCGGATCAACAACAGAAGCTTCACTGGTTCGTGTAAGAGTGGGACTGCGATCTGAGCCCATGTTGTAGTCAAGGTTAGCCTCCGACTCTAATCGAAGTTTGGAAATCTTAATAGCATATTTGATCCCGGGCTGTCCCTCACTACGGGTATCTTTGTTCTCGGCGCGGAAAACAAGTCCGAATGATCCACTGGCAATGCACGCGTCAACTTCTATATTATCTCCTGTCAAGTTGTGTGGATTGTCTTTCTGCCATTTATTTTGACGGATTGTGTTCGCACGAAATGCGCCTGCGAACGATAAAATTTGATTAGCGTTCGTACTATTTTTCTTTGCAAAATGAGGAGATCAAAGGACTGTGAAGGACTTTTTGAAGAGATTAATACTTACGCAACACCCTAACTGCCATGGCGTCTGATTGTCCTGTTAAAGTACTTATGCCTACATCTTGCCAACCCCCTCCGCTAGAGCTATCTGTGTCCACGTCCACATCCACATTCACGTCTACAATTACAGCCCCCGCACCTGGCACATTACCTTCCGGTGGTACGGCAGCCATCTTTATTTTGATATCCAAAAGATTCGAGATGTTGTTGTTCGGGAGGAAGTAAATTTCCAAAGCCTCGCCGAATGGAACGAAATATTCTAATATGATATGTGAAGAGAAAGCAACAAAGCCATGCTTTGAAGTCATCTGTTTCCGGCACTTTGTCGGAGCATTGAAAGAACCGAAGGAAGCAAATAATCATAAAGGTAAGTCAAAGAAATCATTATTCTGATGAAGGGGTGAAGCGAGCGCCAATTGATAAAGCCATACATTATCTGGAAACCTGTGTCGAAAAGAATATTTAAATCTAGCTACATAGTATAACTAAGCATTGGAATTTTCATTAAGATATGAAAAGATAATAATAATCAAGCTGAGGTGAGGAAATGTATCCACTAGACACTGAAGCTAATTTGACAGTGAAAGAACAGAGAAAAACCTCTCAATGAGAAAGCTATTGGAAGGTTTTCCGTAGATGAAAGGCACGCTTCATTCTTTCTTTTCCTTCCCATTAATTACCAACCATAAATTCATTAGCAACCAAACTTATCGTGTTATTGTCGATGGTATTTAGATGCATTGGCCCACCACTGGTCGAAACATTTGTTTCCCTATCCATTATCTTTTCCAATAAAACATTGAAATGAACAACTGCAAACTTCACTCTGAATTCCCGCTCAAGCTCAAAGATAGAGATAAGAACACGGAAAGGAGTCGAAGAAACGAAGAATGAAGGAAGAAATCGAAAGGCGCGAGAGGAATCAGGCGGTATCTTGCCCACAGAAATTCGCATCTGGTGAAGAAGAGCAATTAATTGAATAATCTTGATGAAACTTTAGTTGCTGGTCAAGCAGGCGAAAGTAATCATTGCCAAAATATGTTCACCAAAAACACTAGAGTCCACCCAAAATCAAATGACAACTTGATAGACTGCATTCACTAAGCTTCCAGAATAGAATTTAAGTCTCCCAGCACGACGTTAGGACAAAAGATTAGATATTTCCTCTTCCACTAATTTGCTCTACTTCTGAATAGACACAGAAACTTCAATACTAGTACAGACATTGAATACGGATGTGACCTACCCGACGCAAATGTTCGTGCGTAAATCATGCTTGATGTTTGAGCTATCTGGACGGATATATGAACAGACATAAGACTTATCATTTAAAGTACCCGAGAAAACAATTTTCATGGGCAAGGGTGCTATCACGCTCATGCAATAGACAGAAGAATGTTAAAGAAGAATAGCGAGAGGGAAAATGTATAAACGCAGAAACAAGATTCAGACAGTCAGGAATAGACTGGATTTATTCATGAATCCTCAAACAGGGGAGAGTTAAAAACGAGGAATATGAGATAAACACAAGATAAGTCTTCTCATTTGATCTCACAAACGACTCTGAAACTTTATATCAACGTAAATTTCTTTTTCAAGACTGACAACCCAAGCTTAATTTAATCTATCTCCGTAGGATTGAAATAAAGAAAACCATGAATTGCGTTGCACGTTTCCTTGTCGAGATTGCCAAGATGCCGCATTCGATCCTACAGCCCTATCAGTACTTGTGCCGGCATGTGACTGATCAAATTCTGCTTACCAGGCGTGACACCTTTACTAAATCCAAATACTTTCAAGAGAGCACGAACAGGCCAGAAGGGCCCGAATACCACAGCTAGTGCTGCCCAGGCCCCAAAAACGCTGGCATATGGGTGCTGGCGAACGATAGGCCGCAAGGTGGCTAACACTGTTGTTGCAGAATGCCTAGGATGCTCAAGAACACTTATACCCGCTTTCTTTGCGGTGTTTATATGTCTCGGAGCATCCTGATATAATTGTCCTGCCACATCCTTCGCGGTGTTAAGATGCTTGGGAGCATCTTGATACAACTGCTCTGCCGCCATTCTGGATCTCTCCATGAGAACTGGTGTTTTCTCCATAGCAGAGTTAAGAGCAGGTTGAACCTTAGCAGCAGCAATCGCGGCAGCATCTTTCCCTCTTTCATATGCTCCTGGAGCATTCTCGAGTACATATTGAACTGCTCTTTGGGCGTCTGCCACAGCTTTCGCATAGATTGTTGATATGTTGTCAGACATTACTGTTGTATGATGATGATGAGAAATTAGAGGTGATGTTGAAATTTCAAGTAAATAAAGTCAGACCATAAGACACACACAACATTGAAAGGTGACATGGCATACTGCGGGGTACTACTGCCATTACTGACGAATCGACTCCGTTGATATATACTTTATATGCAGTAGAGCACCACGTGGCTTGATTTTGACCACTCAGTCAATGTTTCAAATGGTCTGAAGCTTGTTGTCCAATGGTGGTGATAGATATGTAAGGTACAGAAATGTAGCAGAGACAAAAAGACCAAAAGGACTTTAGATCTTGAGTCGAACACGGACCCATTTTACTAAATTTAAGCCTAGATTTGGATTGCGGACGGCCAATCAGAAGCCAATAACCCCTGAAACTAAGGAAAACTTGCCACTACTGTACACTGTATTTCCCCAAATTTACAAGGTGCAGGTGCCAAACGTTGATTAGTCTTTCTCCACCCTTTCCTTCTCTAATCTCTAATCTTTAATAAGGCAATTTGTCTCGATACATCCCACTTTCTACTCCATAATTCTATCTCTTTGGACACACCACCTATTCCAATAATATCATAATGCGCATCTAGTCTCTCTTTGAAGATCGATATAATAATCCATAATGGCAACCACGGTCCACGAGACTCCAGAATGGGAGACTCCAACACCCAAACAATCGTTCCTCAGCAAATATAATATCTTTTCCAAGCCGGAATCAACCCTTCCTACCACGAAAGAGGGATCTTCGGATTCATCGGGAAATGCTGCTGCGACAGGAACCTTTGGAAAACCTACATTAACTGAGCGATTCAATGATGTTTTGCCTGCGAATCGCACATATTTTGGACGGAGTCGCAAGGTGCTTTTGTTGATTGTAGGAGCAATTGTATTATTACTTGCATTGGTCCTGGGACTGGGTCTTGGACTTGGCTTGAAGCATTCATCGTACGTGTATTTAGCAATTCATTACATATCAATTGCTCATCGTTTTGAGATTTTTTGTGGATGAATCCAACTTCACAAAAAACTACTCCTTTCAACTCCCTTCCAACTCTGCTATTCAATTGGTCGGAATCACGTACTAATCTATCAATGAAGTTCGAAAGCATTACCTCTTCCATCAAATGGTGGTATATTCACAGGAGATCTTACATACTATGCACCTGGTCTCGGCGCTTGTGGAATTACATCCTCATCGTCTGAATCCATCTGCGCCGTGTCCCACATTATCTTTGATGCCGCTTCAACAAGTTCGAACCCCAATGCGAATCCTCTCTGTGGTAAAAAGATTAGAATCACTCGACAGAAAGACTCGGGAGGTGGGAACAGTACTGTTGACGTGACGGTTGTTGATAGATGTGTTGGATGTAAAGCCGAAGATTTGGACTTGAGCATAACGGTTTTCGAAAAGTTGGCATTGGAAGCAGAGGGCAGAGTTACTGGAAGTTGGGCTTGGTTATAGTGAGCTGCAATGCGGGTCAGATTTTGAGCGATGTCATTTGATATTAGGATACCCCAGATTTTCATCTTGTTCTTTTTAGCGGGGGTCTCGTATACGATTCATGATTGATATTGTGGTTCTAAGCTGGCTGTAGAGATACCCTTGGTTTCGGTGTAACTTGAATCACAATATTGTGATGAGATGTTCTAGTGGATACATAATAATATGATTGGCCAAATTTAGAGCTGTCAACGAGTTTCGTCTCATCGTCAGCACTTTCAGATTTCCTACGTCTCATAGATCCAGTGAGAAGAATGCGGTGCAAAGTTTGAAGGGTTCCTATGTGCTACTGACAGGTTTATGTCACATAACAGATCTCTCAATATCATGAAGGCAAAGCGATAGTTTTGCAGTCTGAATTGAAGCGAAGCCAGTTGAATGTCAGTATTGCTTTATCCGTGTAATAAGATGATAACATGACGGAAAGCGTATGGGAAATGAGAACAGTTTAAATTGGAAATGAAGAGGGTGTGAAAAGAAGGGCATTGATTGGCATGCTTGTTTAGGAAGAGAGCCTCAGTAAGGACGCTTTCTAGTATGCAGCTTCCATAATTCCCACTCCAAGATTACTATGATGTAGAAGGAAGGATGCAGGGTATCAAGGGCTCAGTAATGCGAGTAAAACCTGAAAACTGATTGGAGACTTACGGGCATAGATAGCGAGAGGGTATGCAGAAGTATACTTCATGATCATTACCTTCCGGCTGTGAATTCATCGGCTTGAGTTCATAAATCAAATCTGCTTCTCTCCGATATAAACCCCCATATTCCTTCTCTTCCCAACGAACCTAATACTCTTCCCTCAACTCATCACAGTAAAGTTCCTCCTAGCCTTTCAAATCGATTCAACATCTCACACAAAACACTCAAGTACCATAGTCACGTGATATCCACTCAATGTGTTCAAAGTGGATTTCGACAATTTAGCTTCTCATCTCACCGTCCAGCCCAAACAACCTTGTAAAAATGGAGCTTTCCCGAGCCCAGCCCCCGCAGTTGAAACAGTCCTACGGGCCGATGCAAGCGCTAACAAAGTACACGAGTCCTCGAATCGTCCGGCAGATGAAATATAAAAGCTTGGCATCGCTCCTCGATATGAACACTTCTGTACACCTTCACTCTTTTTTCGCTTAAGGGTTCTTTCTACTCGAATTATAGGCACTTCTGTTTGTCTGGAATTGTTGTGTTGGCTTTTAGATGATTGAGGATTTATGTAATTTAGATTGGATTTGTTTTGGACACCGCTGGTTTGTACCTAATATCTATCTCCTATTTCTCATTGACAGGACTTTTCTAATATTATATAGATATTATCTTTAAGTAATTGGGGACAATTTTGAGTAAATTGCCACGCAAATTCCTACATCAACAATATTCATCTAAAACCCGCCCATCATGGCCTGGATCTCAAGAGGCCAATCCAGTTTCGTCCAAGACACTCCCAACGGCCACACATCCGCCGTCCCAGCCATCGCCACCCACCGCGGCTCTCTCTGGTGTCTCTGGAGCGATCCATCCGGTGATCTCTACTATGCCACCGGCGACAACGACACTTTCCAGACGCGTCTCCGTTTTCCCGATCAAGGAATCCCCGTGATGGCCGAGCTCCTCGGTCGTCTGCATGCCATCATCGTTAGAGCAGATGGAGAAATCGCACACTACGAATATGACGATGTGGAGAAATTATGGGGGGCTCCTGCTCTTCTAGATAAACAAATAGGACTCTGGACGAATACTACACCGGCGCTGATCAGTCATCATAATAATCTAATGTTGGTGTATATCCAAAATTCCTACTTGTATTACTCAACGTGGACTCTAGGTTCTGAAGATCAAGCAGTATGGAAGTATCCCCAGGAAGTTAGCGGGATTAGTAAAGTATCTGGGATCCCCGCGGTATTTGTGTTGAATGGGGATTTGCACGCCCTGTGTTCTTCGGCGGAGGAGGATCATGTGATTCTCGGATTCAAATATTCATTGCCGGAAGATGTGTGGAATAGTTGTGATGATGTGAGTGAGGGAAAAGCAGCACAGGGTGTTTCGGCTACTTCGTATGGTGATAGTGCGTTTTTGGCTTTTCAGGAAAATGGCCCCGGAGATACTTCGCATGTGATTTATATGAGCGAGTATAAAGATGGGATGTGGCATCCGCAAGAAGCGATCGCGGGACAGACTTCGTTTGATCCTCCGCAGTTGGCGGTGCTGAATGGAAGGGTGAATTGTATATTCAATTCGAATGATGAGAGTAGGGAGTTATTGTGGTATTCTCGATCTTTGCTAGATTACTCACTCAGCTCTTGGATGGCGGAAATCCCAGATGATACTTTGTTATCCGATATGACTATCCCAGGAACCCACGATAGTAAGATCTCCCCCTTTCTATTATTGTACAACGCCCATCCTAACAAACCTCCACCCCAGGCTGCGCAGAATCCAACATTCCCTTCGTGCGCACCCAATACCTCTCCATATCCTCCCAGCTCACAGCCGGCATCCGCTTTCTCGATCTCCGCGTACGCGTGCACACCGAAGACGGTCAACTCTACATGTACCACGGCGGCATCCCCATCAACCTACCATTCTATCTCAAATTCGACTTCGTCATGCAGGAAGTATTCGATTTCCTCTCTCAACACAGCCAGGAAACAATTTTAATCTCCATAAAAAACGACGATACATCGAACAAAGAACCTCCCGAGGTATTCTACAGCGCCGTCGCAAAACATATAACATCCATCCCGCCCTACCCATCCGGAAAACCTCGCTGGCTGACAGTGAACAAACCCGAAACACTAGGTGACGCGCGGGGAAAAGCAGTATTACTACGTCGCTACGAATGCGCTCCCGATCTATCGGCAGACGAGAAAATGGGCCTAGATCTCAGCGGCTGGGTGGACAATAATCCTGATTTTACGCTCCAAACCGAAAGTGGCGCGAAAATCCATCTACAAGATAAATGGGAATACTCCGACATCATTCTGCTCAAGGGATTGGTCGAGAGTAAATACGAATACGTGGTGCGGATGTTGGAGAAAGCGAGAGAGGGAGCGAGGGAAGAGTGGTTTGTGAATTTTATGTCTGCGGTGGGGGATCCGGTGCGCAAGGGGGAGGTGGCGGAGAGTCATGTATGTTTATTCTTTTTCTCTTTCTCTTTCTTTTTTTTTCTTTCTTCAAATTCTGTGAATCTTCTACAAGTAAAATTGCTAACGCACAATCTCTAGTGGATAGCAGTAGGCGCACATAGTAAACTCATCGGGGCTTTTGTCCAAGGCATGAATCCAACTCTCCGCCTAAATTTCGATTGGGGAATCAAGAAACGATATGGCATTATTCCTATGGATTATCCGGAACTGCCGAAAGATTCGGATTTGGTGGCTTTGATGATTGGGTCTAATATGTAGAGGGGAGATTGAGAAATGATGTAGAGAGATTTTGATGTTCGGGTGGATCTCGAAAGAGATAAAAAGATCTAAGAGAATAGATGGGCGAATAAGTTATTGAAAATCGAGAATGATCAATGGAAGTTCCAAAATGTAGGTATCATTAAATTTGTTAAAAAATCAGCAAAAGTAAATCTAGATTTGCGCGTGTCATTTAGTTTTAACCTTTTACCCAATAACTCACTCATGTTGTCAGTAATGAGAAACATACATAACACCAAATACCAATCATTCAACAACATTGACGTCGCTTGTATTACTCAAATCACTTCACCACTTTAGAACAAACACATAAGCATACACTATCACCAAAATTACCTAGCATCATCGAACATATCACATAAATCACAAACACAATTTCAAAGCACTTCTACTCAGTTCCTCGATAACAATTGTCATTATCCTCGCTGGTTTTATCGGTAGAAACTTCCCGTTCCCAAACTTTCATCCATCCAGTATTTATGAAAAGGGTATGTGTGGTATACAAAAGCGCGCCATGAGTATTCCACGCCTTCAGTTTCCCCGGAATCCGCAAATGTCTTGTCGTAAAAATCATTCATGCGCCCGAAAATCCATCCTATTCCCAACCGCAAAATGAAAGTAAAGAAAGTAAAGAAAGTATAATCCCCTATCCCTAACCGAGAAACAATCAAAGAACTAACGTCCCTTTGAAACGCTTGCCGATCTTCCGAGAACTGGTTTGTGCGAAAGACCAAACCATTTCCTTCCATGGCCTGTTGCCGCACCACTATTGTTGTCTTTTTCTTTGGTTGCGTCATTTTCCTTGTTACTCTCTTCGGCCATATTCACGTGGCATTTCTCACGTCTCTCTTTACCAATACCCGATCCAAACCCCTTCCTCTCATCACCCGCACCGGAGATAATCTCTCTCGATACTTCATCTCCATCATTCGCACCGTCTTCTCCGAATTCACCCCTCTCCCTCACAACTGCACACGAACTCCTTGGTCTACCCACCAGCTCTTGTTGAAGTTGCGCTGAATGAGTTCTAATTCTCGAAATAGGCGGCGGAGTAGCACTTCTCTCTTTCTCAAGCTCAACTTCACCTTCTTCATGATACGTACTTTTGCTAACTCTGTTACCACTCTCCCCACTACCATCCAGTTGATAATCACCCAATGCTGATCGACTACTATATCTATATCCATGTCTCGAAGCAGGCATAGTCTGGTATTTCGTCCTACGGTCGAGATTAGAGTTGGAACTAGAACTCGATCTTGAAGTCGATTGTGAAGTATTAACAACTGGCGCAGTATCTGATCTTCCAAAGAAGAGTCTCGTAGGAAGTAGTCGCCTGAAATCCTTTTCTTTGCCTCCTTCTTTCTCCTTGGAAGATTCTTTGGAAGGCGTATTCGGGATACTCATAGACACAGGAGCAAGCGGCATCTTGGTGTGGGAATCATGACTTGTGTTGACAGAACATGGGGCGTGCTTCCTCAACTTGGACGTAGCAGCCGCGAGTGAAGATCTTCGATCCGGAGCAGGTGGTTTGGTTGTCTTTTCATCTAAAGGCGTGGAAGATCTTTCCAGTTCCCTAGCACGTCTCTCTCGATGCTCCTCAATTCTAGATTGTGACCTGCGATCCGAATGACCGGTTATAAGAGTATCATCGCTCCTAGGGTGAGACTCGGCTTGCGATACCGTTCGTAGCATTTCGTAACGTTGCGCTGTGTTATTTGAATCACGAGAACGGGAATTTGCACCAGTTGGAACACGTGTTGCGGGATGATCATTATATATACCATCACCACCCCAAGCTCTCATAGTATCGCGTTCGCGAGACGTGGTATTGAATGAAAAGAATTCCGGTGTTTGATTTCCTCCCCGAGGCTCGCGAGTTGGAGGATGCATCTTGGAACTTTCAGCGACACTATCGGTGCTATAATTGGTGAAAGTATCTATTTCATCTGTTTCCAGTGTTTCTGTATCCCAGCCATGACCTTCGCGCCGACTTGTTACGGTTTCTCCAGCACTACGTGGTCGCATGGATGTAGTCGATTGGTATGGATTGTAAGTAGCAGGAGGTACCGAGAACGTTGATGTACTATGAAGAAATGTTACCTCATCTTCATTTACTTGATGTCTTTGATTCAGAGTTTCGTCAGACTCCTTGTGACTTCTCAAAGTGCCGGTGCTAATAGTATCCGGTGTGGGTGGTAACTTCTGGGTTGCTTCATAACTATTCCCATCGGTCATGAGCTGACTATTATCCTCTTGAAATTGTTGTCTTTCCTGGACACTGTTTCGTTTGTCAGATCGAATCTTCAGTCGCATACTTGTGCTATTATTGTATTGCTTCTCCAGATTACTCCTAAGTTTTTCAAGACGTTGTAACGGAGAGGCAGCAACATAGTTCATTGACAAGAATCGACTTCTTTGACCACCAGTTTGAGATGAAGGCGAGGGTACTCTCATAGGCATAGTTGAAGCTGGACGTTCGTCAATCCACTTTTCCACCGAAGAGCTCGTTCGACGATGCTGTTTTGGAGACGGAGAGTCGTAATCTTCTTCATTCACTGCATGCGGCGACTTCTGTCCGTAGATACTCAAGAATGAACTCTCACTCAGAACACTTAACGAAGGACTGGCCATTCCACTTTCACTACCTTCTTCTGGCAACTTCGGAAGAGCAATGTCGCTAAAACTATTACTGCTAGGAAGATACAAACTCCTCAAAGCTTCTACCCCTTCGCTCTTCTCAGATAAAAAAGAGGGCATCCTGGCGATTCCTACCGTAGTATCCCCGGCTCTAGGAGTCCTTGAAGTGTCTCTGTCAAAGATTGGGGGCGAGCTTGGCATTTCATCCGCGCTGTTGTGATCGTAGAAGTCATTTCCATACTGTATCTCGTAATTTCTTACGTCTTCTCGCTCCTGTAGTAACCTCTCAACTTTGGCTTCTAATTCGCAAATGAGACCAACAGCTTGTTCAACTGCCTGGTCTCGTTTCTCCAGCTCCTTGAGTAACGCGTCATTGATTTCTTGGACCTCTGCCTGCTGTTTGACCTGTTTCTTCAACTGTTCCGCTTCCGATTCCAGTATTTCCTGCCTCTGTCGACGATGAAAAAGCTCCAGTTTGAGATCGAAATTCTGTTTATGTAAGGTTGAGACTGTCTGTAATGAAGTTACCAAAAAATTAGCACTCATATCTCCAAAGCATAATATCGACTGAATATAAGGCCATCCTCACCTCTTCCATTTGCTTAACCCCCATCGCCTTCTTCCCCAGCGGCTGACCCACTCCACTCGAACTTGGTCTTCTCTCTTCCCTCTCCCGCATAACCCCACTCCCACCACTACTCCTATGAATCGGCGAACTCTGGACTTCCCTAGCCATAATGCCACTCCCACTAAAGTCCCCACTCAATCTTCTATCCCTACCCTTCCTCTCTCTCAACCTCTCTTGTAAAAAAGCCGCACCACCCGATTGCGCACTCGTTCTTCCTGACCCCAAAGGCAAATGCGCACTCGAACTATTCGTACTCTGCGACGAGATAGTAAGCGTTGCCATATCTGTTCTCGTATTGCTACTTGAACAATTGGTCGCGAAATCATGGTAAAGTGGCATGCGAGTTGTGGTTGAAGATATGCGACTTCTTCGAGATCCTTGACTGCCATCTTCCATGATTGGAAGATGGTTACTTTTGTTGTGATGCTATTTTCAGCTGCAGTGTTCTTGTTTTGTTTTTTTGAAATGCGATTGTTATATAGGCTTTTTGTCTTTGATTGACCGTTTCTGATTGACTGGAAAGACGGGGTAATGCCGTATTCGTTGTATATCAAAGTAAGGAGGGCTGTACCATAGCTGTAAATTTAGAAAGACAGGACGAGTAGATGAGTCAAAAATGAAATCTCAACTTCAGACGACCCCAAATAGTGAGTGTGTGATATGATCCTGGATCATTTGTGTACTGTAGTTGTACTAAGTGTACTCTCGTTTGTTACCATCCGGGACGATGGATCTTCCTCACATCAATATCTGCTGGGTATAGGAAGATCTATGCATATGCAGCTGCAAGGCACTGTGAAGCTGAGAATTCTGATCAAAAATTTGTGACTTCAAAACCGGGTAATGTCGATGTATATTAAGCCACCCCAAAAATGATTGACAATGGTGGAAGCTTGAGTGTACCTAGTGGAGTTTCGTTTTGTTGTTGCATTTGTTTGATGGAATGCAATAAACACTTAGGTACCTACAAAGCGTTTCCAGGCCGATGACTTTCTATTGTACAAGACCTCCCTCGCCCAACTGACATTATTTTGAGTTCAAAGTGAGTTTAGAAAAGGGGAAAGAAGAACGGAGAAAGGAGAGAAGTAAAGAGAAAACAATCCTAGCTTGCATGAATAACTTATTAATCTAGAGAAATAAAGTTCTCAAATGACATATGTGCGGTTCACTAACAAACGGACGTTGTGTCTTTCTATCTTATCTTGTTTTCTTGTTCATACCATACCGAGCCGTCCTACCTTCTCTCGTCCGAGGTCAATGTGTTCCAAGAAACTATCAGCACCTATCAAATATCAGATATCACTTTTTCCCGTTCTTCTTTTTCCTTCTAGCTTTCACCCTGCATTGAACACATGCAACGCAACCCACCCCCCTTTTTTCTACTACACAACATAGAAAGCCTTCTCTCCCGCTACAGCTTCAAAGTCAACGATGTAACCCGTCTAGACTCTGGTAAATGTACCCGCTGGAGACCCGCTGTCCCAATTACCATTCTTACGTACGCGACACCTCAAGAATAGTATGATACGCATATCAAAGGATCTGTGCATACATTAAGCGCAGTTAGTTTCGAACTCTAATCGGCGACCACGGATCAACCCGCAGCTTGTACCTTTCTTACCTGGGCTTGGTATTTCATTGGTCAAGTTTTGCATTCAAATGTCATGTCTCGGGTGGCGACATAGTGGAGCCAATTAGATGAATTTATTAACTATTAAAGGTTGTTTGGGATCAGAAAATACATCAATGAGTAGCATTTCCTCAGGCTCCGAAAACCGCTCAATTGAAATTTCATGTTCATAACGCTATTTGCCGAATGGCGGGATTCATGTGAGGCGCTATTCCCAGTTACCTGACCACTGATCCATGCTTCCGTGACCATCTATCCCTATTTGTACCAGGAAATTGCGTTCGAAAGGTCGGAGAGTGGAAGCGAGAAGAACAAGCTCTCACTGTCCGCTGCGGAAAGTGTACCTCTTGTATAGTCTGGTAACTTATTCCCAGTTTGCGTAATTGAAGCAAGATTTGATCATCCGCAGGGGTCCATGGGAGCCAGAGTTTCATCGCGATCCCTGAATATGCTGGCTGTCCAGGAGGGTCTGTTGGATTTCTGGACTGTGAACGTCCAAAGACTACAGGGGTATTCGGGAGCTGGTTCCAACGCTTCCAATGTCCTAAAAACCCCGTTCCTGATTTGTCAACCATATGTTCGCGATATATTCGTGTGCCTAGGCCTACTCTTAACACTTCTGGGGGTTGGCGATTCAGCAGTAAACTAACGCTCATCGAAGAGCTGGCGACGGTTGTGGTGACGGGTGTGACGACTGCCCAGGATTTTCTGTCTGATTCCATACCGATATTCGGAAATGAAGTTCTGACGCCGCTTGAGAAAATATATGTAATTGCATTTGTATAATGGTCTAAGCTGTCCGAAGCTGTGATGTATGTATGATGTATAGAGATTTGCCAGTAACATGAGGTGTATGTAAAAGTCATCTTATAACGACCTCATCTACTATTCCTTACATTTCCAGATATTGTGTTTCTAAACCCAGAAGTTGCTCTCGTTGCACAATCATGAATGGAAGATACACTTATGCCTGTTTCTCTCCAAACAAATCATTCCAGAATTCCTTGAAACCATATAAGGGTCTCTTAGAATCATAGACATTAACTTTGTCCGATCCGAATCGTTCCATAATACCACCAGGACGATGTCCAATCTTTTCAACTAGTTCCTTGGCTGGCCTAGTCGCCCTTTCTTTGATAGCGGCAGCTAGTTGGGGTGCAACATCTGCATAACAAGATTTTAGTTCACGTTCTAGTGAAAAGTACGGCTTCTTCGCAAGATCTGGTGCCATGAGATTGTAAGATCTCGTTTTACTATTGAGATCGGTGATGGCCAACTTGAGATATGATTGTTCGGCTTCCTCCCAGGATGGTATTCGGAATGGTGGTGGAAGCGCTGCAGGTGCTTGTTCAGAAGCTGGCTGTCTGTTCGTCTCAAGAGGACTAATTTTTCCAATGTCAATTTCATTCTCTTTCGTTTCCGCTAGGATTTGAATGACTGGGTCTCCAGTAGACGAAGATGGAACTTCTTGTATAATTTTCACCATGACTGGATCGTCTGTAGCATTTGTAGGAACAGATATTTGCTCCACGGCTCGCTTCTTCGGGTTATGAACGGCTTCAGATTGTGCATATATCTCTGCAGTTCTCATTTGCTCCTGCAAAGTACCACCTCGACTTGCAATTGTTCTTGCAGCATGTCGTTTCCAGTCATTCCGCAATCTGGTCCTGAAAATATTTGCAGTTTTGACGAGCTCTTGTTGTTTCTCTATCCATGGTGGCACAATATCTTGTCGCTGTATCATCTTGTTCATGATGTATTCGGTTGTATCAATAAATGGATTGTCGGCTCTCGCATCTCTTTCTATTGCCTTTCCCCTGGGAATATTCTGTGAATAAGAGCTTAGTACCATAACATCCCAAGGTGATCACGAAACTTAGACTCACCTTGAACTGACCACGAGCAATGGCATCTTCAATTCTCTCATTGGCCAAAGCAGCCAAACCTCTAAATGAATTCGGCATGGGTCTCGCACCAGGCGAAAATCTTTCTTTGAGCTCCTTTCTGAACTCCTCCCTCTCTCGCTCGCTCATTTGGCTATCCTTGGAAATGGCATAAATTGACGTTTTATCCCTCGCATTTGCCAACCTTTCGCCGGGCCTCAGTTTAGGCTGTTTCTTCAATCTCAAATCCACAACTGGCGATGGGATCTTTCCCGGCCCTCGTAAACCAGGATTGAGAGGTTTTCTAGCATCATTCAACATTCGCAGAACCGTATCCTCAGCTGCTTCTTGCCCGGTCCATGCTTGCCCTGTGGCAATATCCCGAGACCCACGACCAATATTGGATGCAAAGCTTGCTTCCGTAAAGGCAGAGACATTCTCCGATTTGAATTTTGAAGCTTCTACTCTTTCAAGTAATCTTGCCTTCAACTCTTCGGAGAAGCCTGCCTCTTCCACAGCTTTTCGTCCGGCTCGACCACCTTCCAACAGAGCATCTTCAGTAGCTTCCAAGAGACGCCTTGACATCGCCCCTAGTTCCTTTTCTACTTCTTTCTTTTCGGAATCATTCTTGGAGGCTTGCTTCAATATCTGAGCTTCGATTGAAGCTTGATCCTCAAGGTCTTTCGTTACTTTGCTAGCATCTTCCCCTCGAAGTGGCGACGCTTGTGAGAATTGTCGAGAGGCATTCTTATGCAAGTTTGACACTGCATTTTGTTGCTTTGTAGCTCGCAGACGGCGGGCACATTTGAATTTAGAATGTGATACTAAGCGGTGCATATAGAGAAATATAGAAAGAAACTGTATGAAGGTGAATTCACGGTGGCATGCGATGCTTATAATGTCAACACTATAGGCACCCTGTAAATTTTAGTCTGACGGCGATAAGATAAGAAATCCGAGCTCCAGAGTCAAGCTCCCGGTGATCCTTGAAAGGTCGAAATTCTTGAAAACTTCCATCCTCCAATGGTTTCTCCCAAAAAAAAATGTTCGTCTTCTGTGTTAATCATATTCTCATTCCTAACCAAATTGTTTCCCTTGCTCTCGAATTCACAAGAGCACCATTCTGAGGATTTACACCCAATTGAAAACTTCAATCCGCTCATTTGCATTGACAACAAGCATCAATCGATCCCGCATCCCGTATTTTTACTCCTCGATAATCAGCATCTTGTATTACTAGTAGGTATCACCACCTCGACGTGCTGTCATCGACTTATTAACATTTCTCTCCCAAAACCTCGCACTCAATTTTGTAAACGTAATCAATCATGCATACAAATAACTATCTATACACGTCTCTCATCCTCCGTCCTCCATTTCCCATATATCAAATGCCCCTATCCTAAGCTCTCGCAGTTCATACCATCATCTGATCTCATCATCTCACCCAAATCAATTATAGCAAAGGATAAACTGGCTGCATAATGCCACCCCCGTAACCCGTACTGATCGTAGTCTCGCATAATATCGTACAAATATTTCATCCACTCATGCCTTCATCAGATATCCGCCCATCCATGCACCGCATCCGTCCATTTTATCAATCCAATTCAACGGAGTCTACTCCTTCTTACTTTCTTCCTGCATCTCCGCGTGCTGAACATGCACTAACTCTCCATCATCCACTTCTTCGGCCTTTACCCTCGTATCTTCCTTTAGACCTTTACTCGCACCCGCGCTTCCAGTTCCACTCTCAATTTCACCTTCACCGGCCTCCTCTACCATTCCCACATGCACAACCTCATCATCGTCAGCCCTGACTCCTCCAACCCCACCAGCCCTACCGTCATACTCATCCTCATCCTCCAAACTCGTTCTCCTCTTCGCTTCCCTTGTGATACTAACCCCCACCCCATCATCATTGTCAAAATTATCCTCAAACCCACTTCTCCCAAACCCACCTTCATCGCCATCACTGCTTCCCTCCTCGTCCTCATCATCTTCGCCCTCTACCTGAAAGGGGTTGACTCCCTTTGACTCCATCTCCTCGCCTTCAACTTTCTCCCCGTTTGCCAATTTCTGCTTGCTATGCAGCGCCAATCTCGCAGCCAATTGCCTTCTAGCGCGACTTGGTGGGATATTGAGGGGAGGTGGAGGTGGCGGTGGTGCTGAAGGAGGTGAGAGATCAGAGGTAGATGTTGTAGTTGATGGTGTGGTAATATAGCGAGAGAACTAGATGTAATCACATTAGCATATATTTTGGTACGATATAATCATCTGAGAAATAAGGCATATTCCAAAGGGGGAAAGCTAAGCGGTGGATAAAAGCAATTGGGTAAATAGCAAATAAATGGCGGGTCCAGATGAGAGTAGATAATTAGCCCACCCACTAGGGAGCAATGTTAAAAAAAGATTTGCGGACACTAATCATTGATTACAACAACAGATCGACATCACAGCTGTCACCACCACCAACCATATCAGAAAAGGGGGTAAAAGGATTATATCTCAAAAAATTGAATCTCTTTCTCTTGATTGAAGAAAAGAGAAAACTCCAACAATACTCCTCATTTCATACCAACATTAATGTCTTCTAAATTTCTGAAGCCAGAAACAACAAGCCCCAAAGATCTAAAAACGCCACTTGTAATGTTGTTTGGGAATAAAGTGCCAGAAAAGTCGTACTGTACAGGAAGAAAGGAAGACAACATGTGCTTTTTACTGATTAAGAACTACCCTGATCAAAATCCTCGTCCTTCTCTTGAGGAAACAGAGGTGATTCACGATCGAGTTGCTCCAAATATTCATAATCAACGTCCAGGTCGTCAAATTTATCAAGATTGGGGGCTGATGGAGGAACAGAATGACCCACTTCTGCCGATGTACCACCACTATTCTTTCCTTCCTCGTCATTATCTTCTTCCATTTCATCGTCTTCTTCATCACTAGAACTTCCAAAGCCGCTCAGTAATGTGCCCCCGGTGATGAAGTTGTTGCCATTCCCATTGTTGTTAGCAAGTTCAATGCTGTCGAGACCTGTTGACCCATTCAGGCCTGCGTCGGCGAGAGCAGACGATGCGTTTCCGAAATTATTGGCTGCGTTTACCGCATTCATGACAGCTTGTCGTGGGCCAACTGCCATATCTGGTCTGACTCCCCCGAGAATTGCATTATCCCGTTCCCGAGTTTCTGCCAGAGTGACCTCCACATATGGGATCCAATCACCGTTCATGACCCTCTCCAACACCGAGTCAGATAGGAGCTCGGGAGGATGTCGCTCTGTAAATTTCACGACCTCTTCGGCGATGAGTGTAAGATGGCCCATGTAACCAAGTCGCATCTTGTTCTTTTCTTGTGCTTCATCACTCTTCTTTTGCCCATCAACGATTCTCATTGTGATGTCTCCAGTCTCGAAGAGGTCGATCGCAAGTGATCGATTGTATCCACGATCCATAGGTCCATTAAATACTTGTTGTACAACGTCATATACGACATTATGTAAGAAGTTATTCCAAGGAAATCGAAAGAAGAAATCCTGCACTAATTAATTCAGGTACTCAAATATGATGCCTGGTGAAAACTTACTAAGATAGTTGGCACAACTTTATGTTCAACAAATTGCATTTTGAGATAATCTCCAACTACAGGAGCACCTGCAGTTTCCAAAGTTTGGTCTTGAGAAAGTTCCCCCGTGTTACCCATCAGTACGGAATTGTTGCCTTCACCAGCATCGCGCATAGTAGTATCGATGCTGTCAAGACTCATGTTACCATCGCCAGGGACGGCAGCTGATGTATTGGTAGTCTCTTCTGTTGATCCTGCTTTCTTGGAGAACAAAGGTGCAGGGGTATCTTCTGGAAGTGGAATGACCTCTGCAGCATGAGGAACTTCTTCTGTGGGCACTGAAGATTCAGTAGGTGGTTCCAAAGCTACACTCTGGCTTTCAGGGGAGCCCTCTGAGGAAGCAGGGGTATGTTTGTGGGAACCATCAGAAGAGTCTTCAGTATCATCGAGGACAGTAGCATCGATGGAGGGAGGAGGGGAGGTCATAGTCGTATCCTCATCAGTAAAGCCTAAAGAGCCAACTTGTTGAGAAAGTTCCTTGGTTGGAGAAAGAGGAAGGACGGTCATCTCTGGTTCTTGTAACGCATGCTCATCAGACAGCGGTTGTAATCTTGGCGAGCTCAAAGGTTCATCAACAAATTCCTCATCGTCCTTGTCGAGGAAAGAAACAGGCGGCTGGGTAGAAGTAAGTAAAGTTTCTTCGTGTTCATGTTTCTCATCAAAATCGTCTTTGGCGTCATCGCCAAGTTCTGTTGCATGCGTAACTTCTTCAAATCCATCATCATCGGAGGCATTTTGAACCTCCAGTTTCCTAGAACCATCTGGGGAACCTAGTCGTGTTTGTGTTGAGGATTTCATCGTAAGGTCATCTTCGGACATTAGGGCAGTTGGCGATGGGTTCAATTTACCCTCGGCCTTTAATCGTTCTCTCTCCACATCGCGCGCCTTGACAAACTCTTCACTGCCGACTTCATTCAACAAGCCCATGTTGCTGCAGTGCAAAAGTTCAGCCATGAGCTCGCAAGTCTTAAATCTGTCAAATCCAAGAGGCTCAATTTTTCCACCAAAGGCAGCACTCAGCTCTTTTCTTTGAATTGTTACAGGACCATCGCCTCCTCCAACGGTATGATTGGGACTGAGAATGAGTGCCATAAAGTCGGGGACATGTTTGGCAAACATGCGCAAAAGGGTTCCGAGATATATAGGGTCGCGGCTAGATGGTACTGCATTTGCCTCAGCTCCAACCTCGGGATCATAATCCGAATTGTTCTTCCGAATGACTTCGATAACAATGCCAACTCCAACAGTCAACGGATTTCCACCCTTAAGCATATCAGAGATCAACTTTTCAATACATGGTTGAGAGACAAGTTGGCGAGTGAGCTCATTTGGCCCTATGCACGACTGCTCGTTTTGTGACGCATTTGCTGAAATAGTGATGATCGCCTTGAGAAAATCACCGGCCGAAGTTTGTGTGGCCCAGCTGTGTTCTGAGGATAGAAAAGAAAGAAGGATTGGCATCAAGTCTTGCGAATGTAGCCACTATTTCAAGGATTAGCAGATAAAAATTAAATCGGCAAGATTGGGTACATACATCAACAATTCCTGCACCACCCTCCGCTTTCTCCAAACTGATTATTTTCAAAAGAAGATCCATAATCATAGGAGAATCTACATGCTGAAGCATACTCTTAACTGTGCCGTCTATCGACTTTAGCAATTCAAGCATTTCCTCAGTCTTTTTATCTAAAAGAGCCTCATTGACTTTCGTAAAATAACTGGCTTGTAAAGGATCCAAAGGCGCAGGGAGTTTCAGGAACTCCCAAAACTTGCGCAACAGAGGTTGATTCTCCATCAAAGCCTCACAGATGGACCAGTTGTCTGAGGATAAGACTTCGGCTGCAACGTAAGCATAGTGAGTCCGTTTCTTTTCTTTTTCTTTTTCTTTTTCTTCGTCGGCATCTTCAAAGGACTGGCGAGAAAGTGAAAATGATCGAGTTTTGCCCTTTGAGTTTGGTGAACCTGACTTTTCTGTCGATTCTGCCCCAGCGTCTTCTGATGCGATAGTCTCCGATTTAGGAGCCACAACATATTCCAGGAGCCTTGCTAGGATTTTATCTTCCCGTAAGTATTCGATCAACTTTGAGTTGTGTTGTTTTAGTTCTTGTATGAGATCGCTCTCATCCAACAACTGCTCTAGGGTAACATCTTCTTTGTCGAGTAGAGTATCGATAGTAGAAATGTTGGCATATCCGCCGAATCGCCAGAACATGATGAATTATGTAAACAGGACTCGTCTGCCACCAAGGAAATGGTGGTAGAATAAGATATGGGTATTGTTTTTATGTTCGGATCTTGAGATCAATCATGCGAATCAATCGCTGAAGAGCCGCAGGTGTGATGTACTTCTCCCCACAAGGAAAAAAAGGTGGTTGTGTAGAAATGGTTCCCGCCTGCAGATACGCACTTTTTATCTGTAATGTCGTATCGTATCGTGTTTCGTTAAGAATCAATGATCGTAAATATGACTGTGAATAAAGATGTGAGGTCAGTGATAATGTTTTAGAAGTGGATAATCATGTACAATCCGCAAATTGAGGAATAGAGGAGAGGATTGTGTGGCTGGTCGGTGAATGGTGCCTTAATTTGGGCGCGCGACTCTCTCAGCCCTGCGCTTCCGCAAGCCATTCATTGTAGTTGTTGTGAATAACGTAAATAATGGCAAAAGAGAACTCACGACATATATTTTCTGTATTTCAATATCAATTGTACTTTGTCTGTACGAGATGAATTGTGGATTGGTATTCTCCTCAACTAAGCTCCTCCTCCCATTTGACTAAGCAAGAGGCCAAAAGAGTAGGATCAATGTTGCTGTTGTGGAAAGGATCTGTCTGTGTATTGCGAGGTAAATTGTCCAGAGGTTTTGGGCTGGATTGATATCTCCAATTTTCGACTAGAGGATGGATTAAAGAGATATCTTGACGGATAGACTCAACCAACGAATGGACCGACAATTTTCTAACTAAAAAGGGTATCTCAAGAACAAGAAACAAGAAAGGTAATTTTTTTAGAAGTACAAACAAGCATTTGTTGATCTAGTACTCTCGCTCTCTTATTGTTAAAAAATCCGAAAATCTTGGTCTGTCCTAGAGGGCAAGGAGGCAAGGCAGGTCGATGGTGGGGTTCAAAGTGGTTTGGGTCTCTTTGTGGTCTTGTCTTTTTCTTACTTGATCAATTTTCCAATTCTGGGCTCGGGGCGTAAAAGTTCGTTGCAGTTTGGGAAGATAGGGAAGTTGAGTGGGTACAAGTTGGAGTGATTACTTTTTCTGCCTTGCTCGAGCCTTTTGAAATTAGATAGTATCAGGGACCTTTTCTGCTATGATCACCAAGAAGTCCGACTCATTTTGGAAGAGATGAGATAGGGAGAACCAATAGCGAGCTGGGCAGGGAGGAGTAGGTTGTTGATTCAGGCCCCTCACTCATGTGTGTGTGATCTATGGTGAATACCGGGTGTGCATGGAGGATGGGTATAGATATAGTGACTTATTATCTCACTCTACTGTGTTCACCCCAAGTGCCCAACGGACAACGTGTCTTGCATATGTCTGATAGGGAAATGAAGGCAAGATGGGAAAGATATGAAATGATGAGATTGAATCCCAGCTAAACGCCACGTGATGACCCGATAAAGATAAATGGCCCATTAACCGAGACAGACCCCGGGTAAGATTTGGTACCAATGACGAATAGCCAGCATGTTTCTGAACAATCAAATCAATCATCACACTACAGCAGCCTGGACCTTCAAGACTACCTACCTGATCAATCATAATTCATAACTGAGAAACCTATTTCTGCACAATATTCATCGCAAAACACAAATTTGAAAATCTTCAACACATTCTCATCATACCATCACGATGAATAGATTATTCGGCGCAAAGTCCTCAACCCCCAAACCAACCCTCACTTCTGCGATTTCAAATGTACATTTACCTTCCCCTCTCCCCTCTCCCCTCACCCTCATCCTCATCCTCATACTCCGACTAACCCTCCCCCTCCTCTAGGTCGAAGAACGTATCTCCTCCCTCGACGTCAAACTCTCCTCCATAAACATCGAACTCACCTCCTACCAAACCAAGCTCTCCAAAATGCGCGACGGCCCCGGCAAAACCGCCATCAAACAAAAAGCTCTCAAAGTTCTGCAACGCCGCAAAATGTATGAAGGCCAGCGCGACCAATTACAGCAACAATCCTACAACATGGAAAGCGCAGCCATGATGCAAGATAATCTGCAAAACGTCATGACGACCGTGTCGACACTCAAGTCGACGAACGCGGCGCTGAAAAAACAATATGGCAAAATTGATATTGATAAGATTGAGAGGATGCAGGATGAGATGGCGGATTTGATGGAGGTGGGGAATGAGATCCAGGAGAGTATTAGTAGGAGTTATGATTTACCGGAGGAGGTGGATGAGGCGGAGCTGGATGCGGAGTTGGAGGCGCTGGGGGAGGAGGCAGAGTTAGAGGGGTTGGGGGGCATGGCAGAGGGGACGCCAAGTTTTATGCTGGATGAGGCGCCGAGTTTTGTTGATGAGCCACCACAAAAGGTGGGTGAGGTTAAGGAAGCTGCTACTTGAGGGTTGGTGAATATCTGATCTGAGGGAGGGAAGGAGGGCACATGAATATTATTTGAGGGTTTCGGAGTGAGAAGTAGAGTGGAGGTTGCTTTCGCAGCTTCGGTATATCATGTTCATATTGTGGTGATTGTAGCGAGAGTCATTGGTTTCATCGGCATTGAGATTCTCCATATTTATTCTAGCGGCGTTAAGAAGGAAGGTTCGAGGAGTACACCATGGGTTCTTGAGCGAGTACGGGGGGTATTATTCGATATAGGACACAAACTATTCAATCAAAACTTAACTAGATATATGCATCCCCGCTGGTTTACCAAAGTACGCCTGATTAATGCAACAAAAGCCTTCCAACTGGTATCTCCAACGCCAATTCTCAAATGCATGCACGTAATCCCAAAAACTCCTCATGATGCACCACTAATAAAATCCACACTCATCGTCTTCCCACCCCTCCATTCCCTCCCCAAAACGACTTCTATAGGCCACGCCGTCCATTGCTCCCATCCAGGCCCCAACTCATCCAAAGTAGTCTGCAACAAATTCTTCCCCTTCCCACTCATCCACGATACATGTGACACACGATGTATACACACACAATAATATGCCACGAGTAGCAACGCTTCTTTCACTTTCCTAGCCAGCATCGCCTCCACCTCATCGGTGATGGAAGAAAACCAACTCATGACCACGCTTAGGGGTGAAGGTGCATTAGGTGCTCTCAGGAGTCCAAAAACTCGTTTCAACATATCGAGTCCACTATCCAAATGTTTTCGCTCTTCGAGCGAGAGCTCGCATGCAGAAGTACTAGACCACGCGCTTGCTAGCGAAGAGACATGGGAATCATCGACTGGGTCGAGTGGTGGGATAAAATCCCGTTGAAAATCAATCCAAGGGTCGAATAGCACTTTGAACGGACCGCGAGACAGATTTTCCCAAGTACTTTTGAGTATAAAATTGGAACCTCGGTAAAGCTTGACCCATTGCGAGTGAGGAAATGTACTTTCATTTTCGGCACAATCGGGCCCAAAGAACAGATGATTGGGAAGATTGGAATCCTGTGACGTCCAGGCGAATGTAAACATGATGGTTGTGAACGCGAAACATGCTTGAAAGTTTTCAGCCGTGAGATCGGAAATCGCAGATTGGAACAGTTGGAGAGCGGCAGTTAGGTGAATAGTTGATGCTCCGTGATAGTAAGCAGCTTTGAGGGGTCGGGCATGTGATAATTGCAAGGCGGCCAAGGCAAGAATCTCATGCATAAGAAATGGAAACTGGAAAGCTAGTTCTACAACAGTTGTCCTATAGAGTTCTTGGCCAGTAGCAAAGTCGACGAAATCTGAAACGCCATACATGGTGTAATAATGAAGTAGTTCCATATCAAGGATAGAAAAGGAATAATTTGAAGCAGGCAGAGATGGAGCAGGCGAAACAACTGGTCTAGGACTCAATTCAACTTTTGAAGGTGAGATATCAGACGCTGGTGATTTTGACTTTGAGCCTTGTCGCATCATCGTACTGCACTGAATCTCGTGACTATGAAGACTCTTCATGGGATGTGTGCGCAAATACGAGCATTCTGAACCCGAACCATAACTTTGACATTTCTGGCATGATGGTTTCTTCTCATCACACTTTTCAATGCGTTTGTCAGCTGAATCCTTATTTTTCTAATTTGGGGAAAATTGGAGAAAAAACATGTAACGAGTAATGTGGGTGCAACGCCGAGAACCCCATTGAGAACATTGTTTGCGTCTGCCAGAGAGCTTTTTCATGACCGAGACTAGGATGTTCTATTGGCGCAGCAATCATATATGCAGACGTGCAATATATGGAAATGAATTCGCTCCAGACGAAAGCAAGAAGAGAATACGTACCTTGACCTTTCTTGATTTGCATTGAAGACATCCGGTTCTACTCTTGTGATGTGGTCTTCGTGGACGGATCACATCCATCATGCCCAATTCTTTCAGATCGCTGAACAAAACACCAAAATGCAAGAAGGCGAAGAGAAATATAACTGTCGAGAGTGGGAAATGCAGTGCAAAGCCTCTTACCAGTACCCAATATGAGTTGCTATTTAAAGCGTCGTATTGGTAGGGAGGTCGAGTACGAGAAAGGTCAAACGAAACCAAATGTTAGACTTGAATGCAGAAATGGGTCGGTAGGGAATGAATGAATGGATGAATGAATGAATGAAGACGACACGAGCCACCCAAAAACCTTGTCGATTTTATCTTGTCCTACCGAGGTGAATACTAAGGGATTCAATTGGTCGCTCAGCCGGCAAGTACGAGGCTGAATAAATAATTGGATCGCTCATCTGGATTATCTGGATTTTGTGTGTACTGCGTGTACTGCGTGTACTATGTGTACTATGCATGTGCGAAGTAGCTAGGAAGGCATTGTATTTTAGGAAATCGGAGATTATCGAGATTATATCATCATATAAATCGGGTCCCCCATATTACCTACCTAGCATGGGTCTCGACTCGAGTAATGAATGCCGTGACTGAAACCTCTCGGATACAATTCTTAATTTGACACTGGTCGACGGTAACAGGAATGCTAATTAATATACTCGAGCGCAAACTTTGATCTCGGTATGACCCGATGTCGACTTCTGGTGATTACGAATACACGATATCGATATCGCGACTTTTCTGGTGGCTGTTCTCGGGCTGTGTCACCCCTACCGACTTATCAGTACGTATACTTCGTACTTCGCACCGCAGCCATACGGAGAATATTGCAAAAGCCCGGTAGCTATGCAGAGGTTATATATAGGAATTAGCCTATTAGGTCGCCATAAGTTCGGTCATACATTATAACTCTGCTCTGGATAGAATCAAAACTCGGGGTTTTTTGTCCCTTTCCAGTCCCAATGTTTTCCGCTTTGTCCATTTGGCTTTCTTCTACTCACTGTGCCCCAGGCGCCAAAATGACGTGTAGCATTGAGCGCGTGACTTCACCATTTTATTGTGTATTCCATGTTCATTCCGAAATCAGGAATTAGGAATCGTGGGGCATGGCAGTCTCATGAAGTCGCTCTGGAGTCAGCAGCAGTGTCCCAGAATTCTTGAAATCTTCAATTTCTAAAGCACTGGCTTTATTCTTCGCACTTGTTGCGGCCATCGACAAAGTTCATTTTCGTTACGAAATACTTTGCTGATTCAAATCTTCTATCGTATAATTTGCTCATAGTTTCGTCAGACATCGCCTTACTGGAAACCCCATTATGAACACGAGTCGATATTTTCCATGGTTGAACCGAGGGATCACTAGGAGGATAACCTAACCAACCTTATACTATACTCCCTTCTACACTTTCCCTCACATACCACCCAATTTGTATGGCACAATAGCAAGTTTGACTTTGATCTCTTCTTATCATACACCCTTTGTTTTCTCATCATAATACATATTTTGGCGCCTAGCAGTTCGACGTCCAAACAATGTGTCTAGCTATCACGTTTTAACGTATTATTTCGACACATATTTCATTTTTGCTCGCGAATATTGGACAATAAGAGCTATATGGGTCCATCATTAAGCAAGTGCTCCGAATATGCCTTGAGGTTGGAGGTCCAACGTCTCAATTCATTCCGCCTCGGCAATGAAAAGCTCAATGACTATTCTAGTAGTGCATCTCAAAATCGGACTATAGGTTCTTCTTAAATCGTGTGGACAGTCGATGACGATATCCAAGATCATCCACAGAAACTGAATTTGCTTGCGTTCATTTCTTTCCATGGTTTCATTCTGAAGAATGCAGAATCTAAAGTACATTCTGAGCCCGGATCATGCCTGAATGATGGATCCACCTGTACATGATCACCTGTCAGAAGACCACGGATGTTCATATACACTCTAATCGTGCAGAGTTGTGAATTCTCTTGAACCAGTCTCATTTTCATAAAGCGTAGTAGGTATATATATGACATTACCGAATTATGTAATCTTACGCCATTCTCAATAGCCAATGCACGACTTTTCTCTAGTCCTCGTTTAATGTTATGAGAGGAATTTGGAAGAGGGGGAGACGCAGGGAAGCGGTTGATTGAGAACGAGTGTTCGCAGGCGATAATGATTCTTACGTATTCCTTCTACACGAATAACCCTATTCTACAGAAAAACGAGATTTACTGATCGAGTATGCATTTATTCAAATGAAGGATCCAGTACGTTGTAAGGTATGCGTAATGTTGGCGCCAATTAAACTAAGCGCACAACAAACATTCAATCGAGGGGTGAAGCGACCTGAGATACGTCCAGCGCTTAGCTGTAGGACGACTGACACCTCATCGTTCGCCACAAGTTTGATGTCTTTTGTAGATCGCTTATTCATAAGTATGTATGGTGGCCGTCTGTGGTCGAAGGACGATGGCTGAGACGGTCTGAAATGGCCTTTATTGTGAATTTGTAGACTCACATTGGAGTCGCAGATCAAGGCAGACCTTTCCAGGGCAAGGTTTCAAACAGCTGATCTGTTGGTAAATGAAGGCATATATTTGCGTCATTCCTTGACTGTCCCACTTTCTTCAAAGTTAAGGTTGAAGCTGGTTTCGGGAAAATACTCGACTACTTACTATTTTTCCCCAAACTTCCTTTTCTCTATTTCTCTCATTTGTGTTATCTGCTTTAAGTTACTCGGTTTGAAGACAAATCCAAAAAGACACAACAATCCACACGTATCTCTCATCTTGCCCCAAAATGCACACCCCGACCAACCTCCTTCGCTACCTTCCTCTCCTCACCCTTCTTCACCCCCCCGTCTCTGCTCTCGCACAGCCACCCTCCCAAGCCCCCCTCACGTCCCCCGAAAAATGTCTCTCCTACTCTGCCACCTTTCTAACACCCTACACCTCCGGCGCCCTCGAACCACATGCTTCAGCAAAACTCCCCGGTTTCTGCGAAGGAATTGTGGAGCCCGTTGCCCTCCATCCAAACATTGTTGATGACTGGGGATACATTTACGATTTCAGCTCCGGGTGTGGATGCGATGGTGCAGGAGGCGACGGGAGTGAAAGATTTTGGGTATATTTCCCTGTTGAGATTAACAGTATTGAGAAAGATGAACAAAAACACGTTTTCGAGTCTCCGGGTCATGCGGATGAGGAACTCAAGAAGAAGAATCGAAAGAAGAAGTGTCATGGTAAAAACGAGAAGAAAGAAGAAGAAATGGAAATAGAGATCATGGAGCCCTGGGTTCTACACGCAGAAGGATGTGAGGATAATAGAGGAGATGTCGAAATTAATGGAGGATTGGGAACGTGTGAGGAGGGTATTCTGAGAACGTGGCAGATGGGGGTTAGTAGAGAGGATTGGAGAGAGATGAGAAGTGATGGAGGAATGGTTTGGATTGTTGAGGGATGGGATAGGTGCGAGGAGTTGGAGGGGAGATTGGGACATGTAGAAGAGGAAGAGGAAAATATCGAAGAGGAGGTGATTGAATTTGAGGTTGAGTTTGAAATCGAAAAGGAGATTGAGTATGAGGTTGAATTCGAAATTGAAATTGTAGAGGAGGGAGTGGATGAGGATAACATCGAGTATGAACTTGAATTTGAGATTGAAATCGTGGATGTAGAAGATGACGTTGAGGAGGAGCAACAGGAGAAAGTAGAGATGCTAGATTTCGAACTTTAGGAATAGGATTTTGAGGATGGAGGGGTTAGAGGGGTCACAACGATCTTTATCGTGAAGTCAAAATACAACCATTATTCAATCACAAATACATCAAGTACTCAATACTATTCCCCTACTCTATAACAAACCACAACTTCCATAACTTACTTATACATCTAGATGTGAAATCCAAAGATAAAGTAAAGCAATCGAGTCACCTTAAATATACTCAAGATATTCCTCTCTTTCTATACATCCAAACCACACTTAGTAATCTAACTTAGATATCAAATACTCTTTGTTTCCCCCTCTCTATTCATCTCATCTAATACATCCCTCCCAAGTTCCCTCTCCTTTACTCCCTCACAAATCCCAATCCAACCCCAAACCCAAACCCAAATCCAAATCCATGCACACAATCTTACATTACATAATCCACCAACCACTCAACCACTCAACCATCCAATCCCATCCCACCACTAACTAACTCACACCCACCCATCAACCAACCAACCAACCAACCAAGCATCCATCCATCCATCCATCCATCCATCCATCCATTCGGATTCGGAAATCCGCCAAATTTCCATTTTCCGCTTCGAGGAGAAAAGTGACCCCAAAACTCCACTCAGATGCATCTTGATTCTTGGTGTGTGATGCGAATTGGCTGGCTTACCAAGATGCCGATATTTCCTTCTATCTCCGATTTAGATATATTGATTGATAAATGGCTGCCGTGCCCATCTCTCTTGGAGTATTTTCAATGTGATTAGTATTTTTATTTATTTGTTTTCTTTGTTCATGCTTCTTGCGTTTGTGCTATACTTCCATGAACGATTTGTTATAGACAAAGTTACTGCGAATTATTCAACTCAGTTTCACGTCAACAGTCACAATAGATTTGAAAAGGTTCATCAAATAGTTGGTGGTCAGTCATATCATTAGCATTTCCCATATTTCCCTCCATCCCGTCCATTCATCCATTTCGCTCCAATACTCCAAATACAGGTTTTGTCCTCATCTATCCACGTACGATATGTATGTATGCAATGTATGAGCATTCTCATCCCCATACCACTACCACCACAATCGTCGCCTCATACCATCTATGCACAGCAAGAGAAGTCAAAAGTCAAGCAAAATTTTCCATCGCCCTGCCTCTCCCGAACTTTAGACACGGCCGATGATTAGAAAAGAGAAAGAAAGTGTTTCCACGCCGTGGACCACATAACGTATGCACATCATTTAGCTATGTCATATGCAATATGTCGTAACGGAAAAACGAAACGTTGAAAAAATGTTGGTGCTTTATGCTTATTTCACCCTGCGCTAGGAAAGAAATAAGAAAATAAGAGAAAAGATGCTCCGCGAACGCCCAAGAACGATGATGTGATTGAAGGACCGACATCGAATATAGTGTATGTACAAGGCGACTTAATTTAGGATTGGGTGATCAATCGAATTGGAAAGGCCAAGAGATCTGCGAGGCTCATGCTGCGAGGTATTTGTGTATAGTGGGTCGAGGATGCAGTAGCAGAGGATGTGCTGTACGCCGATATAGACGGAGATCATGACTAGACACAATTAGCATCAGATATGTCATCGATTGACATCGATTTAGCAGAGTCGAACATACCTTGTACACTTATCCATTGGCCAATTCATTCCAATTAGCTGGGAATAGCAGTGTTCGTGCTCTGCGAATTCTTCCAGACTCCTCCTCCAACAGCTCTAGAGATACCGACTCCAACACCGACGGCAAGAGCCACGACAACCAAAGCAATCAAGACCTTGAACCAGATTCTCGTCTTTCGATCGAAACCAGCCATGCAACCGCAGATGCCTGCACTCAGTCTGTGTTGCTTCATCGCCTTCTTCTTCCTCTTCATTTGTTGTTGACCAGGCCATACCGTACATTCCTGCGTCGCGCCCGTCTTCGCCTTCGTCAACAATGTTCCACTCTTCGTTGTTTGTTGTGGCGTAAGACAGGCTTCAACATCTGTATCGTATATCGCAATATTCTGCTTCGACGAAGATTTCTGTGCTTCGAGCGAATATCTTGTAGGGTTTGGGTTGTAAAATGGAGAGAATGGAGATGTTTCTTGGGACAGACTGCTTTTCTCGTAGCGAGTGTGAGTTGGACTTAAAGAATGTGTAGAGTCGACATCTTCGATTGTGCTGAGAACGGATTGATTGGATGGTGCACGGGATGGAGTAGGTCGATTAATGGTGAGAACGTTCGTGTCGACAAGAGTCGATTTTTCATCGACAGGAGAGGACATGATGAGTTTGACTTGGTGTCCTTGCTTTTAATTCAAGAAGGTTCTTTGGCTCGAGATATGTTGGTATATCGATGCTCGAACAGAGGAATGATTGATAAAGGTGCTTTGAAAGTTGCTTTAGATAATAGGTAGGTTTGTAAGAGCTCTAATCCGTGGTGCTAGCGTACTCTTTTCGAAACGAGGTAAGAACGACCGACTTTCTATTTTTGAAAGATCTTCGAATTGCTGTTTTGAAGAAGCTTTTATTCTCTAACACAAGACCAATAAGTGATTTTGAATCTCTTATCGTATGGAGTCTGTGACAATTGATTCAATTAAATTCCTTTTGAAAAGGTTGGTTGTCAAATGTGATTCAGTTGGATGGATGATTTGAATGAATGATTGAAGATTTAGGCTTATAATTCCTCTCGGGTGTTGCTCAGAACCTAATCGTACCGTAGTAGTAGCGACTTTGATGAATCCGATTGAGGGAGGACGATAACAAATAAACAATTAAGGATCGAAGTGATACTTGTGTTTTTGGGGGGGGTATATAACAAGAATAATTACTACAATAAGGATTGAATTGGTTATAAACTAAGAATATCCAAGAAGATGGAAAGGATAGAGTCGAGTCGAGTCAAATAGCCATAAAAAAGGAGGGGAGAGGGATTAGATATGAATGAAGGTATTTTTTTGTGGTTGCGCGATAGATACTGGCTACCTAGTACTATAGCTAGTTAGTGTCTACTCCGTATACGTATTGTCTAATCGACTAGGGACAGTTGGGGAAAGGAAAAGATAATACGTACCAGAACGGTACCAGTAAGTAGGTAGGCTAATGTACGGAGTAGCAAGCAAGCAAGCAAGCAGCATGAATATGAATATGGACAGGTATTTCTCCTCATAACCTGGTCTGGTCTGGTCTGGTCGGGTTTGGTCTGACCTTGGCTCAACCATTAGTATCCATAACTAGATAACTAGTACCACAGTGCCACTCTATCTCATTCCTCCACTTCAAAAGTTCAAACAATCTTCATGTTCAATCGATCCAGTCTACCCAGTCTCCAGTCTACCCAGTCTCCAGTCTACCCAGTCTCCAGTCTACCCGTCTGTCTATCGGTTCTACCAGTCCACAGAATCTAATCACCAACTTCCAAGTTCCCACTCCTCAGACCTTCATACCGGCGTTACTCGTTCACTAAATTGATCCAAATCTCCATAGCCAGTATCTAGTAGTCCCGTCAATACTCAGTCATGCTGTCCATTCATTCGTCCATTCTCAAGTCTATTGAAACACCAAACTTTCCTCTTCTTTTCACTATTCAAAGTAATTTCGCTCTAGAGAAGCTGATCCCTTCCTGTTCCTAGATTTTTGATACTAGGATATGGAAAACTAATCTCTTCTCAGCAAAATAGTTACACCAAGACCCGCCAAAGACCACCTTTTACCCCTAATAAATCCTTGCACAGCGCGGAACACTAACTTCATTCCAGACAAGCTTGGATAGGAATCAGATACGCTCGTTGCGTTTGAAAAATCGATATGCGAGGTGCCTTTGATTTCGATATAGTGCTTGAGATTTGATCTTCTTCAATCATGATATAAAACTATTGGGTTTACTGCGGGATAATAGGATCGCGGTTCAGGAGAATTGCTACGGTGATGGTGATGATGCTGCTGTCAATATCTCATATCCACTCGTTCTGCTACTGGTATGTACGAGGTAGGTAGTACGACTACGACTAGTTTATTGAACGTTTTGTTTCTGCAGTGTAGACAAATGACAACAGGATGGTCTTCTCGTGGAGGAGGGATTTCCCCGTATGTACCTATGCGTAGGTAGGTAGGTAGGTAGGCATGCCTATGCACACTTCGTACCAAAAAAGAGTTGTATGCGCTTGTTAAGGTTATTCTGTACGCCTCAGCGTTACATACCTAGTGCATATAATAAGCAGGCTTCCGGTAAAGATATTGAATTTGGTATCACTTCCGATGCAGTATCAGAGATGAGATAGAAAACTGGACAGGATGAATGCATCAGAGCCACATGCAATATTCTCAGGGCCTTTCTATTATGTTAGCTCCTTCACTCCTATACACTTCATTAAATCTATCCGATCGAGTGTGTATTGCATCAAGTGCTTATCGCTTCAATACAAGATCTGTTGGCGTGTCTAACACCTGATTCACTTCTATCTTCTTATCGCCATCTTGGGTCTTGACGCGTGGTGTACGTATCGTATCATGGTGGCTATACAATATCTGTTGGTATAAAAATCACGAATACGGCAATACGATGGTCTCACTGGATGGACTACAAGCTTCTTTGCCCACAATACTCGAGTACAAAATAATGGGTATCTGCAATGCCCCAAAGCACAGACTCAGACAAACCACATCATACCATACCATACACTAGACAGGAAGATAATATGGACCCGAGTTGATAGGGAAGAGATATGTCACGAAGTACTGTATGAGCGTCGACAGCAGCTACGAGATATCGTACGTCCCAAATTTCCCTTCTGAAATCCTTCCAACATCTCTCAACAAACTGCATCCCTCACACATATCCCAAATCCCATATCCCATCTTCCGAAAATCGACAAAGCACCGACATGCATGCTCCAAACTAATAAATTAGCCTTCCACGCCTCGAACCAACATCAACTTGATGGCAAAAACTCAATGATCACCCAATAGCGAAAACTCATCCATCAAATCTCCACCTTCCTATCTCACCCGTTTCGCTCCCA